TGGTTTTCGAAAGATTTACCGTTCTAGTTGTGTGGGTGGTAGACCACTTGATCAATTGGATCCTAAACCTTGTCCAGGTAAGGAAATTGAATTTAAAAAGCACTACAACAAAGAAGTCACTATAGTCAATTTAACGATAGCTATTGTTATTCCACTACTTATCTTCATATTTGTCACATGGTTTGTCTATGATAGAGGTGTTCGAAGAAAAGGTGGATTTACGAGATTAAGCGAAATCAGATTAGGTGAGGAGGATGTTCAACCTATTGAAAACGACCGCATTGATAAGATCACAAGCAAAATTGTCAAATATGGAATCGCTATAATTGTTGATTTCTCTGCTGCAACGAGTGCAATAAGAAGTATCAATGGAAGTTCATTTCGGAAGCTTATATCTGCGATCTTCACAAGCTCTCCAAGTGGAAGAAACTTCGTAGCAGTGCCCGATTTGAACCAAGAAGAAGATCGATTATTTGCAAACTCTCATAGCACAGAAGCAGCAGATGATGATTACGATGACGAACAAGAGTAACAAGATAAACAACTGGCGTGTTCATCGAGGAATCGAAAGTATTGGCATAAAACTGCACCCTTCCCTTTAATATTCCAAGCATTTCAAATTTGGGAGAAAAATACTCTCAATAGACCCATTATATTTTCAGTCTACAATAGCGGGACAGAAGATGCGAACCTCCGTATCATCTGGTAGAACAACTTTCCCATCCTCTTATAGCAATGTAGCACGAAAATTGGTGAATTTTCTCCTTTAATTTTCTCTATGCATAGCCTTTCTCGTTAAGCTTGCGCTTCTTCCGATCAGTTTAACTAAGCGTTGGAAGTGAATAAGTTTGTCATGCAGGCAAGCGTAACTATTCGCTCATTTTGCTCATACTCAAGCACGGCTGAAGAGGTCTATCAAACTCCAAATTGTGCTGTACTAGTCCTGTTTTCACTAGTCACAGCCAATCATATATGTGGGGAAGGATTTGGGCTGCGTACGCTAATGGCCCCAGAGTATCACCCTGAAGGTATACGGGAGTATGCAGATGAGTAAGTCCTGTATTACCACCTCGTAAATGTGTATTACCTTTTTTGGACTAATGGATCTTTCGGGTTCTTTATTTGGCTAAGCTCCCTTGGTTCTACATGCTGTGTACAAGTTTGTACTGGGAAGCAGGGCTCAATATTTGAAAGAGAGACTTCAGTGGCATTTACTGAAAACTATAGCTCGATTCTCGATAGGAGCCAGAATTATGAACATTTGCTGGAAAGCTAAAATATAACTTTATCAGCGATACAATGATTATAATTTTACCAGAAACTAATGTAGTTTGTAGAAACTTACGTGGATCTCATACCGATAGAAGTGTCATTGTAGCAATATTACATGGAAGGCGTACACGGAGGATTCTTCAATGTAAGTGTGATTAAGGTAGTCTCTTCTGGAACGCTTATCCGGAGCATTTCAAGCAGGAGCTTTTTGAAGTATAGCCTGGGACACAATTGTGGAGCATTTATCAGTACATGCTCTTTATATTAGTGATAGACAACTGAAAGGTTTGGAGCTCGACATGCATTGGCCCGAGGTTCTGCTCACCGTTATCATTATTGAAGCACAACACAACAATTTCACGATAAACAGCGGATACGAGGACTCACCATATTTGTCAAAAATTGGTTCCATGCTCATGCATTTCATGGCTTGGTTTCAACTTGCAACATGTTATATCACAATTAGCTCCAATACCCTCCAATACTTGGCCACTAGAACTTCCTTTACACTTTTCACGAAGTAAGAAGGTAGCGTTCACTTTGCATCCAATACAATATCCCGCCCCGATACCTTCCAATAATCGGTGACGACTACTTTGTGGCTAGCACAATATTAAATCCCCTACGCCCAACACTCAATTTGAAAGGAACCGTTTTGAAAGTAAGGTCACTGCTACGGCTCACGAAGTAGCCGCAACTTGACCTTAAACTAACCTTTGTGCAATCTCAACACTATTGCGGAAATAAGGCCACCAATCGTCCCATTTTCATGGAAGTACCGCGAAGGATAATATGAAGGAGGAGGAGATTGATCAAATTTGGCAGTGTGGATGACGAAATGACCCTCCTAACGGAATAATTACCACTGCAGTGGCCCAGTCCAACCTCCACAATGGCTCTGCCTATTATTTCCTCCGCAGGAGTCCTTAGGACCCTTTACCCGCAAGGGTAGTTTTCTTGAAATAATATTCCGTTCTACGTTAGAACTTAAGTGAAACGCCCTCAAAATAGCTCTTCGAAACCTTCTCTACATGCCCATAAAAAGTAGGAGCCAGGGGAGTAGCCCCAGAAACGCAGCCAATTATTACCGACGTACCCAATAACCGTCGCCAGATTCCCGCTGGGCTGGCCCAGCGTGAACTACTGGCCAAGACGCTGCCGGGAAGCTGTAGAAGCCCGCCTTCCTTGTTAGGGTCTGGTTGGCAGGCCCTGTCAGCAGTTGCCTCGTATTCCCCAATTAGGCACAACGTCTCGCTAAAACCGCGTCAATCGCGTCGTGCCAGCAGGCCCTGCTTGCCACCGCGTTCCATGCCGTCACCGTCGCACTCGCAGGCGCTCGCTAGCGCCTCCTTGCGCTGCCACCACCCGCGCCCGCTGGGCCCTCTAATCCTCCCCGTCCCAGTACGCCTCGCCGGCCCACTCCCCCAACCCGTCTAGTTCCATCGTCCTGTGACAGTCTGCCTCACTCGTCTCAGTTGCCGACACCACACTGACACCTGCCAGCGTGCCCACCAGCGTGCCACCAGAACACCTTCAGGCCCCCCTTTCCACTACCAGCTGCCTGCTCGCCTCATTGTCACTTCACTGTCGCTGCATCGTTACCCTTACTACCATCTCCGCTGCCACCTTCCCCTACCGTCCCTCGCAATTTGTCGTAAAGTGGCCCCCAGATAACAAACCTGCGTATAAGCCAGTAGGCGACACTAACCGTGTAGGTGTTTACAAACTCCCAGACCACTGCTAGCCACCCCACCACAACCACCACCTCCGGACTTCCCAGCAAGCGCTCCCCTGAACCTCTGTCCAGGCCCCCCGTGCAGCCACCTCCGTACCAGAAACTACCGTGACGGTCCCCAACCATCCTCGACCCAATATGTCCATTGGTGTCCAAGAGCAGAGAACCAGCGTGTCGGGACTTCCCGACCCTGACGACAGCAACGGCCCCAACATCTCCACGTTCCAGCGGCTCTCGTTGTCCATCCCCATCGAGGCCAAAAACTACTCGTTCATATGGCTGTTCTTATCCACCTCGTTGAACTTAGACAGTCCCGACCTCTTTTTCTCCACCAACGCCAGACCGGCAGACCCGCCAGTGCCACAGCCTAGTGGCTCGCTTGAGGGCTTGCCTGACGTGGCGTTTCCCACCGACTTGTGGCTCAAAGATGACATCTGCGTTCGGGACGTCAAGATTAAGACCTCGGTGTTGCAGGAGCTCAACCTCTCCATCGAGAAAGAGTTGTCCAGCCAGAGTCCCTTGTTTGAACAGCAGGTGTTGAACTACTACGACAAGCTTCTCACCGCCTACAGAGTCTACGATATTCCCGTGCGGTCCTCGGTCAGCTCGGTCTACACTCCTCCAGAGGTGTCCCTCCGTGAGGAGGACGACGAGGATGGCACCTCCAACGGCGAGGATTACGTGTTGGAAGACTCCAAGTCTATTGCAAGAACCACATCTAACCAGTCGTCCACCACGTCCCAGAAAACCTCCAATTCTGCCCTTTCTGGCCACCAACCGTCGTCCGCTACCAACACCCCCACTCCATCGGCAGGAGCTAACAAACATTCATCGCAAACGAGCAACAAGCGAGTCTCGGCCTTGTCCCGAGAATTTACATCCCAGAGGAAGAGATTCCTGACGATGTTGGGCCACGAGGGAAACCCTGAGACCGTCCCTGCAGAGGAGGAGCACAAGAAGCAGCAGGTGTTGAACAGCTTGCTTGCGAAATCGAGAATATATAATAAGATCAAGAAGCACCGAGAACTGTCTAGCTCCATGAGCTCTAATGTGTCCAGCCCTTCTAGCTATAGCAATAGAAACAGTCTTACCACCACCACTACCGCCAATTCATCGACCGCATCAAGAAGAAGGGGAAGCTCAAACTATTTTGCAAGCTCGCCCGATATCAACGAATCCAGATTACTCCAGCAAACACCACCTTCGCCCCCAATCACCCTATTGACAAAAGAGCAGAAGGCAGACAACAGGAAACAGAAATACGACTACTATGTGCAGCTCACCAAGCTCATGGATGTGTCACAGCTCCTTGTGAATTATGCCCTCAAGGCGAACGCCAGCCAAAATCCAAATAACCTTAAGGTGATTGAATTCATTGAGTTTCTCAAGAAAAAAGTATTGAAATTTATTATCATCGATATATCCCAGATGTTGTTGGACTATGCTCAATTGAAGGCGTCGTCAATCTATAGCTCGAGGTGACTCCGTGCTCTGGTCCATGGATAGAATCTCATGAAGGACCCTATAGGTCGCTTGGCTAGCCATAGTCCATGATTAATGTGCAGCTATAGCGAAACTGGTGTTAAATAGTGTATATTATCGGTCTACAGACCATGTCTTAATTTATTAATATAATTACTTCAGTATGAAAATGGGTAGTATCTTGAAGGAAGTTAACGTTTATATTTCAGGGAGCAAGCCTCTTGGTGCTGGATCCAGAGAGTATTCGAACTAGTTCTTCCAGTTACTTGCAAGTGCTCAACATCTGCAGTATCACGCTCAACAACTGGTCATTTTCACAGGCAGCAGCCACTCTTTCTTTGTCGTTCAACTGTTTGTTGACTTGGTTTTCGGACTGATGTGTTCCCTCCTTGATCAAGATCCTGATTCTGAATCTGGCAGGTAAGCAACGCTCCAAGCGCACCCTGATTCCCAACCCGATCAAGGTGGCCAACGAGCAATGAGTGATGGTAGGAGTGATCTTGATGAGAACCTCTGAAATGTCCGTGTTCTTGTTCTGGCCCAAAGTCACTGTTATGTCCGACAAGTTGACCACAGCAAGCTGGGCCAAAGTCAAAGGGTGTTCTGGATCGGAGATTGTAGAGATGAGATCGAAGATTTCTTGAGCGTCGATAGCATCCTCATCTTCGTCGTCTTCGTCCACCAACTCGTCCTCAGTAGAGTCCATGTCCACGTCTGACACGAGATCAGGCACCGTGGTAGCAGGTGAGGATGGGTGATGTACTTTTGGTGTGAGAAGTGAGAGGGAGGTGATTCTCTCCACCAACTCGGCGTTCCGGTTGGTGGCCTTGGTGTCCTGGCCTATCCTGGTGGGGAGGTTCGACACATCGATGATGGTGGGGTTGGCGTTGATAGGGTCCGACATCGTGATGGTAGATATTTGGTGTCGGTTGCGATAAGATGACTAAATACAATCGTGGTGCGATAGCGAGAATTTAGCGACGCCAGGAAAAAACTTTAGCGGGAGCACTTGGAGAGATATCGAGCAGGGCGAAAGAGCTCTACCATTTCAGGTGGTTTATTTTGCTTGAATTACACTCTAAGGACCCCATTGAAGCTAATCCAGTGTATTAGTAGAGCTTGTGTTACTCCCCAGCCCCAAAATGTGCTGTTTAGGTTTATTGATCAGTGTCTAAGCGTTCGCTAATGCCAGTACCACCTCGCACCTCCTCGCAAGCTGTGGTGAGTATTTGTCGCTAGCTCCACTCACAGTTAGTGATCTCTACCGCGCTATACCAATAAATCCTCGCTCTATTTGCCGTGCTCCACGAAGAATCATACACCCACTAACACCGACGCTTTCACCCATGGAGCACTACCCCAAGGTCCTCATCCAGCAATTGGCGCCGTTTGTCAAACTCGAGGTCGCCAAGTCCTTGGAATCCTCGCCAGTGGCCGAATGCTTCTCCAAGAATATCGCCCAGTTCAACATCAGTGGAAAGGTTTGGGATAACTCCATCATCAAAAATAGACTCCTGAACGTTCGCTACGTGGTCGAGGTGGTCAAGGAATCACAAAATGCCCACTCACTCCCCGTCAAGACCGTTTCCCAAGAAGAACACTCGGTTCTATCTCCATTCAATGTCGACTCCGACTTGTTTCCCAATGGCATTCTCTCCCCGAAGTGGTTCCTCAAGTACGCCCAAGACTTGCCCTTTGCCTTCATCAAGACTATGCTACTTTCGCAAGACCCTGCTGAAGATGATGACTTGGTCAAGCAAATCAATTCCCTCAAAATGTACTACAACAGCCAAAACGTCAAGTTTGTCGTGATCCTCGTGTCACAGTCCGAAGACGCAGACGTCGATCTGAGAGTAGACCACTTGCGCAATGCCACCAACTTGCCCAGATTGACAGGCTTGCTACACCTCCACAATACCGACGAGACGTTGGCCAGGGACTCCGAGTTGGTGATAACCACCCTCTTTGCGAACTTGAAATCGGCTGCTGTCGACTTCTACTCCAACATCGAGTACAAGATAAACCAGCGAAACAAGAAGTACTATACCTGTCCTTCCACTCAGGGAATAGACTCAGACATAGAAATCACACCCAAAGCACTCGAAACCAGAAATTTGATCAAGCAAGCCATGATCAACCAGCTCACTAATCCCCGGAATCTCGAGCAAGCCCTCAAATTGTTAGAGTTGTCATACCAGAACTTGGTGGAGTTGCTCAGGGATGATTTTGCTAACAAGATCCAGCAGTTCACCAAGGTCTCGGCTCACGATCTCAATCTTTTCTACCAGTATCGCCAGTTGTGCGATATTATTGCATTTCATATTGTCAGAGGATACTTCTCGCTAGAAGATCCCATTACTGCATTGAAAAAACACAAGACCCACATAGCGAATATATTGAGCATCGTGTGGGTAGAGGGTAATGCAAGCTTGCAGAACTACAGTGATAACTGGGTAGCCATACAGTATGAGTGGCTCGCCCAATTGATGCTGTTGGTCCCTCCTTCCGTACTTAAAGATTTGCAGATACTGACAAAGAGGTCTTCCAAGGCTCAAAGCCTTCCGTATTACGGAGGTTTGAAGATACTTGGAAAGTATTCGTTTGATATTATCACTTCCCCTACATTGGGGTTTTTGAAGTCAGTGTACTTTTTGAAGAAAGTTAAACAGACCGAACCGGGTCAATATGCGTACCTATTTGAAGATATGACTTCAAAGGAGATAAAAATGAGAATCATTAACTTGCTTGAGAAGTCCGTCAATGCAACGGTGCTGCTGCCATTGGCAATTTCTGATGACCAAATCGAATCATTATCATTTCTCCTGTATATCAACTGGCTTGTGGCAGAAGAGTTCTACTTATTGAGTGACGACGATTCGATCAAAAAAGCGGTCGAATTCTACGAATCCTCGCTTGCAAACTCGGCAATCGAGAAATGGGCTGGTGTATCCAGTGTGATATTACAGAAGCTAATAATGTGCTACGATAAATTGAAAGATCTGAAGAATGAATTGATAAACATCTTGAAGCTTGCTAAGGTATCAGATAAGGGACATTTAGCAATGGTCTCTAAGAATGAAAAGCTTTTAGACAACGAGGATATTCACAACACGTCTCTAGATGATGATGCGAAAAGTTTAGGGAATTTGATCGACTGCCATGCCTTGGTATTGAGCAAAGATAATAGCGAGGCTTACATGTTTGATAAATGTCAGGTTCAATTAACATTGAAGAATAATTTGAATGTGGACTTGGTGGAGAAGTTCTTACCAACTGGGTCTAGGGCTAAATTGGTCGTCGAGCAATTGGACTTATCTATAGCCAGGTTGGATGGAAAACAAACCAGCAAAAGAACAGTGACGTTGAAGCATGAAGTAACTGATCAACTGTCTTTCTACTCTGAATTGGATTTGCAGTCCTCTGATATTCATCACTACATAGGGAAGGCTAACCTTGAATTGGACAGTAATAGTGGAATTTCAAGACTCATCCAGTTTGATCAAGTCTTCCAGAAAACAGGGTTGTACGAGATACAAAGCTTGAAAACCCAACTCAAACTTGTCATTACTTTGAATAACAAGACATACGATCTAACGAAACTGGAAGTGATTGACCTCGACACGAATCCATTTTCGGTTTCGACTCATCACAACACTCTATACACCCCAATTCCTGGGCGTGAAGCCAATAAGCTTGAAGATCTAGCCAAAAAATGGTTCAGAATTACCACCACAAATTCTAGAAGAATCAAAGTGTCACCACTAAGACCTGATCTCGAAGCATCGATTGACGGAGAGATACCGTCCAACTTGTTCTTGGGTGAAAAAGTAATCATCCCAGTTCGAATCAAATATAAGAGTCCTCAGAACCAACTGGTCAAGTACAAAAAGCTATCTGTGCTACTGTCAGCCAAGATCTCTTGGGAAAAGAATGATTTGGATGTGGATGTTACCACCCAAATTAGCTGGAATGGGCTCAAAGATGACGAAGCATTGGACTTACAGGGATCTGTCACTGATTCTCGGCATGAAGCGGTGTATTCCTTGAATGTCAGCCTTCTCAGCCCTCCCAACGGAGACTTTGAACACGCTAAAGCAAAACTTTTGCTCAATTTTAGGACTATTGTATCTGAAGAAACCGGAGAGGTTGAGGAAGAGGAGGACGAGTCTATATATGATGCCAACACCTACGAGATACCAATTTTGGCCAAACCTTTCCAAGCAAGCTGTGTGATTTGTCCCAGGTGCAGAACTGATGGGCTGGATATGCCGTCACCCTTTTTGATTTCGGAAGCCCTGGAGGATGCTACTATCATGCCAGTTGCAACTAGGCTCTGGCTTGTGGAGTACACCTTGAAAGCATTGAACCAGAGTGATCTCTTGATAGTGGGTTCGGAGATCAATGTCAAGGCTAAAAACCCAGAGGTGGTTGTTGAAGCCATTCAGGATTCCGAGAGTCTGGGTACCGTTTCGAGCCAGTTAGTCACTACTCGAAGCAAGACTGGATTCACTCATAGAAATGCCAGTGTTTCTGCTTCAATTAGTGTGAAGTGGAAGAGAAACGGCAGTGAGCTCGTGAACACTTATACCAGTGAAGAGGTCGAAATTGTGCTTCCACTTTCGGACCCGAGAGTGTTAGTTAATATAGACGCAGAAGACAAGGGAAAGGCCAAGATCCAGTACATTCTTGAAAATCCCACCTCCAGAATCTTCATGTTCACCACACAATTGGACGAGGGCGAAGGATGGAGCTTTGAAGACGATCGTAACCTATTGCCCTTGAAACAGCCTGCATTCCCGGTATTGCCATTTACCCAACACATTATGGAGTATTACTGGCAGTATGAAAATGAACAATGGGTCAAGGTGCCCAACTTGCGGGTGTTTGATGTTCAGTATAAGGTGGGGTTGCCGCTTTTATCTGTTTCTGAGAGTATTGTGATGAGGGAGAACCGTTTGTTCTGGAAATCAACGGGTGTATAGACTGTTGAAATTCCTTGTTAGGATGAGTATTCTATAGAAGTATAATGCATGGAGAAGACGGTAGTTGGAGACACAACCTGCGAGGGAATTGATGCATCAACATGAAGCTTCCATATATTGAGGAGATGTAAGTTATTTCAGAAAATTGCATTGGTGTACAACTAATCAGGTGGAGGTCTAATGTGAACTGAAGCATTGTGGATGTTGCACTGATATCAATTCTCTGGCAGAACCGTTGGATACTCCCTGTTAACCATAAGAGAAGAGGAATGTACCTAGTTGAGCAACTTATCCTATGGATATCACCTGAATACTCTATTCGTCTGTTTTCACCAGCATGAATGGTCCATAGTCCCTACTGCTAGCTAAATCTCCAGTAGCTGCCCTCTGGATGGATCTGCTTCCGGGCATGTTCCGACGCAGTTATTACCTCAACGAACAGACAAGTCATCGCTGGCCAGACAGAGGCACTTGATGGGGCCTTGCGCTTTCCACCCACCAAGCCCGCCATCAATGGTCTTCCAGGTGAGTGTTCTGACCTGGCAGAACCGCCACGCAAGCCATTGGACGTGCCACGGCTCTCTAGCTCCCGACTGGTGGTGACCAGTGGGGGGAATTTCTGCGCCACTCGCCGTAGCGCTCTGGCTCTACAATCAATTAAACGGGATGTATTCACTGAGTACTAACCTAGTTGACACCAAGCAATTCGACGTCAAAGATCAAGGTGGCGTTAGGAGGAATCAAGCCTGGGAAGCCTCTTGGTCCGTAGGCCTCGTGGCCAGGAATGGTCAACTTGGATCTGGAACCCACAGTCAATTGAGGAATGGCGGTGTCCCATCCCTTGATGACTTGACCAACACCAATGGTGCATTGGAATGGCTTACCACGGTCTCTGGAAGAGTCGAACTTCTTACCGTTTTCCAAGGTACCGGTGTAGTGGATGGTGACCAAGTCACCGACGTTTGGGCGGGCACCGGAGCCTTCTTGCAAGATTTCGATTTGGGTGGTGGCTGGAGCGGACATTTGGGAGTAGTAGCGTCTGAACTGTGCTGGATGACAAGAAGAACGTTGGAGAAGACGCAACATGGTGAAGAGGTTATGTAAGCCGGTGGGAGCAAAGGACGGTGGGCTCAGCGGGGTGGTGGGTGCAGGACGACGATGTTGGGTGCTAACCTGCAAGCCCCTCGCGGTAAATTGCACGTTGGGCTGGATCCACAGTGGTGAGTTTGGAAGGGCCCGAGAATGGGGACGCTGGTGGTTTGTTGCCCAGAGAGTCGTTTTCGGGCTCTTGGGCGTAGGCTGGTGCAGTATGGGTGTTTTTGGTTAGCCTAGTGAAGGATGGGTAAAATGCATCCCCTTTTCGTGCATCTAAAATGTGGGGAGTTTTTGTGTGATGTTGCACCCATGGGCCTGTTATAGGTAAGTTTGCTACCCCGTGGAGGTGATGATAGGCGAATAAACGTGAAATTTAGTTTCTGGTGAATTTTCTGGCCAGTTTTGAAATTTAGTATGTTCTCTGTTTCTGGTTGTATTTCCTGCAAGTCCAGTGAGCCACACTCATACATGTCTCTAATTTTTAATGGCAATAACTAAGCTGAGTCTATCAGTCTTCCTTTGTGGGGTACAATCTACAATTAAAAGGAGTTGGAAACATCCAGATGGGAAATTGAATACGTTTATTTGTCAACTAAGCAAAAAACTGATTATGGTCAATCCACCAACGTCCAGAATTCACTACAAGGTGCAGAATATTGTAGTTTCTATAACACAGTTGAATATAATCCTGGTACTCCAACATAATACTTAGAGCTTTGTGGCTGTGAATCGTGCATTGTAAACCCACACAGTAGAGCAAGTGTTGCAATGTGACAAGAGGCACAACTCTGGGGATTTGCGAACAGATTTGTGAATGCAGACACCAGATAGTACACATATTCTATTTCCATGAGAAATTAATTCAAATAATTTATTACTTTGCGATGGATTAAAGATCTCGGATACAATTTATATCATCTCTACTCGTCAGAAACCGGTCTTATATCCAGAGCTTCCCAATCTCAGTCTCTTTATACAATTAGTTTGAGACAGCTAACTTATAGTCACGTACAATTAGCGTGTGGCGCTTTAAATCGCTTGGGGTGCCTAGACTAGAAACATACCCAAACCCCTATGCTATTTTATTTCTACATCTCGAGAGCATATCAAGAAGAATCTAGTGTAGTTCAGCGCGGTATCATACACCTTCGTATTATCTATTTGTATCCAACTGGCATGACTAGTCTCGGGTGCATATTTGTAAGCACTGACTAATATCCGTCTTTCGCTGTAGTTTGTCCTTTTAGCACAATAAAACAAACGACTCCCTCGCAACAGACCAATTATGCTCCATTTCCCATTCTTCTTCGTTGCTTACTTCCCTCTATTTTGATCACACTCGGATTTCTGATGCTTGCTCACCTCTCATAAGCCCCATACAGTCTATCTTTAGAGTCCTGTACCTAGTAGATCTGCCCTCCACAATGATAATTTTGGAATAAGTATTGCCGTGCCTCAAGCCTTAGCGCTTACGTAAGCGCATAGATAAGCCCCGGACTGCATCACCAACTATATCCGGAGTCCACTCCTACTCTCTTTCTTTCAACACCATGGGTGCCTACGACATTAAAGTGGAGATCGACAGATCCGCCACAAGCACATTCACCAACTACGACGTCATCAAAGGCACTGTCACTTTGGTAGTCACCAATTCCATCTCTCTCAGCTATATCCAAGTCAAGTTGGAAGGCATTGCAAAGACCCAGCTAGTGATCCCAGTAGTGCGAAGAAAGGGCAAGGTCGACAACAGAGTCATCCAGGATGTCCACAAGGTGCTTTATGATGCCAGCGTTGTATTTCCACCAGAGAATGTCCGCCAGGTATCGCTGTCCAAGGACTTCACTTTGCCACCAGGCAACTACACCTATCCGTTTGAGTTCAAAATCCCACTCAACAGCTCGTGTGTCAAGCTCCTGGGGATCACCAACAAGGTGCTGATCAACAAGAACTTCGACTTGTTGATCAATAACGGTAACTTCAACCGTGGCATTGTGGGAAGCATGGCCAAGCTGATGTTGCTGGAGCTTTCGGGACAGCAGGGACAGCAGGGGCAGCAGCTGCGCCCCCAGCAGCAGAACTACCACATCTCATCGCCATTGCCACCTTCGCTAAGTGGAATTGGCGAGTTTGCCAGCGTGCAATATTTCGTCAAAGTTACTTGCAAACGGTCGTCTTTCTTGAAAACAAACCTCCGTGCCTACGACCCTTTCATCTTCCTCCCGTTGGACTTAGACATCTACCAGCCTCCCAACGATGAGGACTACCGCGAGGTGTTTGTGAGAAAGCAATTGATCTTCAGGGATCGAATCCCAGAGATTGTGGGCGTAGTGATGCCTCCTGAAGCAAATAAGCGCAAGACGTTGCCGCTGGTCCCCCAGTACCAAAAGAAGGGCTTTTTATCACGGTTGTTTGACCCCGTTCCGTCATTGCCAAACCCTCCTCGTCCGTCCAAAGGTGGTGATGCATACTACCCTGAAATTCGATCAAAGGATGTACCATTTTCGTTCGAGGTCCGGTTCCGCCATCCAGCATTTTTGGTACCTACAAAACCGCCTTCCTTCAGGCTCTATTTGGTGTCTGATCGCAACCCTCTGAGGTACACTTTAGGCGAGTATGGACGTCCAGAAGACAGCAATGGGTTGGGGGTGGTGTATCTCCAGCGCTTGGTGGTGGATCTCACCTGTACCACTGTCATTCTGGTGCTCCAGACAGATGGATCCAACCAGGCACTCCACAACGCCCTGCGTGACGAAAACATCAGTGTGTGCAACAACAGCTATCAGAACCTCATGTTTGACTTGATGTACTGCAAGAGGACCAAATCTGCATCTGCCACTTCCACCAACGCAGCACCTGGCGACGTTTACGAGTTGGAGATTCCCCAGAAATACTTTGCCAACTGCGTGCTTCCCGACCACCTTTCACCATCATTCAAGACGTGTAATATCACCAGAAAGTACACCTTGACAGTCGAGGCCAGTTTTTCCAACGAGAAGATTGGAGACTTCCGCAGTGCTGACGAGTGGGCCAAAAAGGTCAAGTCAGTCGACCTCGTGTTCCCCAACATCAAGCTTTTGAGTGGGTTGGCCATGACCAGCTCGCTCCATTCGTCCTCGAAAACCAACTTGGGCGAAAAGGCACCTCCTACTCCGCCAGTACGGCCCACTTACGAGCCTGATGTTAAAGTTCCTGTGCCTGCCGAAGCTCCCAGCTATCCCAGCGCCCACGACGAGAAGTCTGAGCCTGTGGAGCATCTGCTACTTCCCACCTATGACGACGTTGTTCGCGAGAGCTCGTACCAGGACGATTCTGAGCACAATCGTGCCCGCAGACGGTATGAGCAGCACGAGCAGTACTACAATAACCTCGAGTAGGAGGGGCGATAGCATGGATCTTAGGGAATATCAAGCTACAAGACACGGGAAATGGACTATGCTCCTCTAGAGGTAAAAGTGTACCTCGAGGCTACCATTTCTTGGGTGGAATAATCTACTCTGGCAATGGAATTGTACATCGATTAAACAATCTTTTTGAAGGAAAAATCTACTAAGCTCATGGAATTGTGCTACTAGGTCTTATTGAATTGTACAATGAGCCTGATAGTTGTGCTACAACAACTTACCCCAATATTCTCGAGCCAAGAGCTGAACAAGCTGGAGATATCCATACTACAATACTCTTGGAAAGGAAATGCTAGTAGCTAGTAGGTCAAGTGCAATTGCTACTGGCATAACAACTGTGCCTCTATGAAATCGCTCATCCATACTACTTTACTCATAAGATGGCTATACCCCTCCGCAAGAATTGGGCTTCGAGACCTAATGGGTGTGCTACAAATATTGCCTACAGTAGTCTCCAGCGAGGAGGCACAAGACCAAGTCCATGCTTCAATTTTCGTGCAAAGGCTGGACTACGGAATTGCACACTAACCTAAAGGATTGTGCCCATGGCAATAGAATTATGCCTATGGCAATGAAATTGTGCCTCTTCTGGTCATCAAATTTGATACTAGGCCTAATTGACGTTTCCTCCTCTGGCAATGAAATTTGCTACTAGACCGATTGCTCCTCTGACAATGAAATTATGTTTCACACCGTCAGTGCGAGACTTTCAGTAGTGACTATTCTGGCAGCAATTGCCTTCCAAACCTCAAGAAACAGGTCCACCGTGCTAGCCACACACATTATACTGCAGCCCCAGTACATCCCCGTAGTCGGGGCCGCTTAATGCCACATACATTATGACACCGACGTAGTAAGACCCTGAACCGGCACCGATTCGGTCACGTGAGCCTTACGTAAGGATGTTGCCAGCCAGTGAAAAACTTGAGAAAACTCTGAAGGCGATCCATACATCTAGCAATAGTCAAGTATGAGTGGGATCGATAGCACAACCAACTTCTTTGCAAGGAACCGTACCGTCATCGCAGTCACTGCCTTGGCCGGGCTCTCTGCTGCCGGTGCTTACTACTACTTAAACCAACCATCAGCTGGCGACGCTCCTGATGCTGGCAAGAAGAAGAAAAACAAGAAGAAGAAGGCCAAGAAGGCCGGTGAGGACTCTGGCGCCAACACCCCAGCTCCTGCTGAAAAGGAAGAAAAGACCCGTGTCTACCCTGTCAATGCTCAAGGCTTGCCAGAAGTCAGCGACGAAGTGATTAATGGTTTGACCGAGGCCCAAAAGGAAGAATGGGCGTTGGCATTGAAGGAAGACGGTAACAACGAGTTCAAGGCTAAGAACTACGACGATGCCATTGCCTACTACACTGTTGCCTTGCAAATCAAGAAGGACCCCATCTTCTACTCCAACCGTTCTGCCTGTTACGCAGCATTGAACGATCACGAAAACGTCATCAAGGACACCACCGAGGCCATCAAGATCAAGCCAGACTACACCAAGTGTGTCTTGCGTCGTGCAACCTCCTACGAAACCATCGAGCGTTACGAGGATGCCATGTTCGACTTGACTGCATTGACTATCTACGGAGGCTTCAGCAACAAATCCATCGAACAAGTGTTGGAAAGAGTCTTGAAGAAGCACTCTATCAAGATCGTTGAATCCAAGCCAAAGACCTTCAACTTGCCCTCGGCCTCCATCATTGGCTCTTTCTTCGGTGCTTTTGTTGAAGAAACCACCCCTGAAGGTATTTCTGAACAATCCGAAGGTGCTGACAAGTTCTTGTACGACGCCTTGGTCAACATCAACATCAACACCCAAGAAGGTTACGAACAAGCCGACACCTTGTTGAACCAAGCCCTTGAAGCCTACAACATTGAAGAATTGTCTCCCGAATCTCCTCAAGCCGGACCTGCCTCTATTGCCTTAGAATACTCCGCTGCCTTCAGCTTCTTGAAGAACCAACCCCAAGAAGCCGCCAGCGGTATCAACAAGGCTATTGCCTTGAAGCCAAGACCAAGATCATACATCTTCAGAGCTTTAATCAACGCCGACAAACAATCTTACGATGATGCCATCAAGGACTTTGCCAAGGCCCAAGAAATGGACCCAGAATGCCCTGACATCTTCTACCACTTGGGTCAATTGCACTACCTCACTGGAGACATGGCCAACGCTGAAGTCAACTTTGTTAAGGCCAAGTCCTTGAACCCAGAAAACGTCTATGCTTACATCCAATTGGCCTGTATAACCTACAAGAACGGATTATTCGACTCTGCTATTGAAAAGTTCACCGAAGCCAAGTTGAAATTTGCCACCTCCCCAGAAGTCCCAACCTACTATGGTGAAATCTTAGCTGACCGTGGTGACATTGAGGGTGCTTGCAAACAATTCGACATTGCTGCCAGATTACAAGAAAGCTTGAAGACCTTCTCTGTCGGAAGCTTGCCACTCATCAACAAGGCCACCTGTATCTCTAGAGAAAGCTTAGAAAGAATGCCAGAGGCTGAAGAATTGTTGGTCAGAGCTTGTGAATTGGATCCTAAGTCTGAATTGGCCAAACTTTCCTTGGCTCAAATCAAATTGCAACAAGAAAAGGTGGATGAAGCCATTGAATTGTTTGAAGAATCCACCGACTTGGCTAGAAACTTCGAAGAAAAGGTTCAAGCCACCTCCTTTGCTGAAGCAACTAAGATGCAAAAGAGAATCAGAAACGATCCTGTTTTGACCAAGAAGATTGCTGAGGTGATGCAACAAAGTGGTGCTATTCCATACTAGGCTAGCCATAATTGGTGGTTTGTAGTATAACCAGCAATTGATTGTATATATTTCTGTTATAAAAGTGGTATTTATCGACTGAACATGTGTAAGATTATCTACTGGACGTATGATCAGCTGTTGAGACTGTAAGTGGTAACTATCTTCAAGGACATGACCACTTGACCCCATAACTACTACCACAAACGTTCTTCACAACATTTTCTAGCAACCCTTTGCCTCCATACTTCAATATTAACATGTTATCATGTTCATACTAACATGGTTAGCCTGAACCTCGTCAATTACTCTCTATAATACCATTGCCACCCGCACCTTTCAGTTTTGCAACCATACCATGAAGTCACTCTTTCGTTCTATTGCAATGTCTCCGACAGTAACACAAGTTATCGATGGCAAGGAGATAGACTTCTCCTTCATTACTCCACAATTGGGAGTCTGCTCGGGCCCTGTTGACTGTCAGTTCCGCTCATGGTATCGTCTGCTGATATCTGATCTATCGAAGTGGCTTGACACACAATCGTCCAATTGGCACATATGGAATCTCAGGGGCGAAGGAGCTGGATACGACCTCGAAACCATGAGAGATAAGGTATCTTTTCACCCGCTTACCGACCATGAGGCTCCCAGTATGGATATGCTACTCAGAGTGGTCAAGGAGCTAGATGAGTACTTGAGTGAAACGGACCACTTAGCGGTGGTTCACTGCAAAGCAGGAAGAGGTAGGTCAGGAACGGTGGTTTGCGCCTACCTAATGTATCAGTTTAGCAAGGAAGGCAAACACTTGACGGTGGAAGAAGCCATCCTGTGGTTCAGTGCTAAGAGGATGCGCACCTTTGCAGACACTGGCATATCCATCAAGTCTCAGAGAAGAGCTCTCGAGTACTGGTACAAGTTTCTCCAGTTCACAAGGAAAGAACGGTTGGAATACTTTAGAAGCAGTGCTGGGGCTGAAAAGCACTTGTATGGAATTAGGGTGATTAATCCATGTCAAGGCTGGATAGGTGAGATTTGCATCCAAACCTACATCGACGGCAATATTGGCGACATCTACAAGTTCACCGACCCTAGCTCACCTGGGATCTCGAGAGTCCGAGAAAGAACCCCAATCCCTGTTCAAGAATTTAGAGTTGCAATTAAATGGTGCTACTGCTGGTATCACCTATTTTTTGAGAAGCGCAAGCAGATGGTTGAGGGCTTGGACACTTTCAAACTTGTGGCTACTTGGGACGATTTTGACGGTTTCAAAGGAACCACTCACAAAGGTGTCAAGTGGTTCGACGCCTTAGAGATATACTGGGTCTAGTGCGAAGAAGAATTCCTGGCATGGCTAGAGATTTTGCGTTTTGGATGGAGACATCTATTGTTCACTGCTCGATCCTTTTCTATATGACTAGCTAACTAACCACCACGTTTCTCATTGGTATCCTCCAACCAAAACTCTTTCAATGCTTTTTGGATCTCGGGGGTATGTGTAGACGTGCCAGTAAGCTTGGCCAATGTGTACGGTTTGGAAAGCTTGATTTCATTGAACAATATGATGTCATTGCCGGCTTTTTTCACCTGGGCAGCACCGAACTTATTCTTGAGCTTGTCAAACAATTTATTGGTGATGTGGTTGGAATTGTTATGCTCGGGTTTGGGGGCAGGCTTATAATTTTGGATGGCTGCGTTCAAGGACCTTTCAAGTTCCGGTATCAGGATGTTGGAGTAATTCACCTGCATGTGCTTGTTTATGACATTGGAATTGTTGCCCTTTTTGGGGTAGGGGGGCAACACCTGGATCGACTTTATGAACGAGGTGTTGATGATTCTATAGGTGTCTGATTTGGGGTTTGCCTTCTTGGCCTCGTGGTTCAGCACCTTGAGTGCTAACACCTCGTTGGAGGATGAGAACGTGTATATATAGCCGGTGATAGTTTGGTCAAGGAGAGTTGTGACCTTGACCTTGGTGTTGACGGCTTGGTTGAATGTTTTGACGGACATGTTGGGGTAGGGTACAGATATGACGTGATGGTAGTGACGAAAATGCAGGCAAACGAATGGTACGACGGAAACAAAGATGGATCAAAAGATTCAAAATGACAGGCTTGGATCAAGGGTCTATATGGTGGCACAGGTGACGGTGATCGGCACAGGTGGGTATAAATTAAGCCGGGTGATTACAATTAGCCAGTCCAGATCAATTTCTTCATTGGTGGTTGCACGTGACATGTCCCGTTAGTGATCTCCGGCCTAGCAGGTGCGGCTGGCCCACCCAGCCCTTGCCCACTGAGGCAGACACACGGATCCCCTTCTCGTGGAATATGCCTTGAAATGTCCCTAATAGCAATTTTTTCTTTGCTTCCCCACTACACCTTTCACGGCAACGTATTAAGTCTTGAACTGGAAATTCAGCCCAATCAGAAAGTTGTACGACTTGAAACTTAGTTGGGACGAAGGCTGACCAGATTCGTTGGGCTGCCACCCAAAGCTCTTCCCATCAGTTGCTTGGCAGAACCACAATCTAGACAGACACCCTTTTCAACTGACAATCCTAAAGCCACCTCCAAGTCCGCACCCATCTGCAACCGTCCTGCACACGGGCCAGTGCCTTCCTGCCCACCTTACCACACCAGGCGCTGTCAGACCTGACAGTGAAGTCCGCCCACAACAACCATCTATGGCCTTCCACCACCATGCAAGATGAACACATTCTGATCGATAAGTTGGAGGATCAGATCATCGATCATCCGGACGCGTCCACCCAGCACCAGCTCCACAGCACATCGCTTGACGAGACGTTCCAGAACAAGTTGAATGCCAGAGCAGAGCAGATCAAGTCCAACCAGGCCCACGAGTCCAGAAGAACAGGCAAGGACGGCGTTAACAGGCCTGCCCATGACCCTGCTGGAGGCAACGGCTCCATCAACTACCAGTTCTTGATCAACAAGTCCCATTTGGACTACACCTACAGGGACCACGAGGCGCTAGACCAGGAATTGAGCGAGTGGTTCACCTACAATGACTTGAAAGTGCTATCCATTGCCAACTTGAGGACCTCTTATGCCGACGGAACTGACATTGGTGAGGCTTTGTCCACAATCGAGTCTGGCTCTATCGCAGCAGCTAATGGCCAGCTTGCTGCCGCCTTGGACCTGTTGATTTACTACTCATTTGGCTCCTACGCCCAAGCATTCCATCGTTCGGACCAACTCAGATCAATTATCGGAAATAACACCGATCTCATCTCGAAATATGCATACCGCCCATTGATCTCATTGCTTCAAGTATTCATTGAGTCCATTACCTCAAACGAAACATCTTCCAAACTTGAACTCGGGCATACATCAGAATCTACTTACTTCAAGGTATTAACTCTCTTGTACTTCATGATCAACGTGGCACTTGAAATTGATGACGACGCAAAAGCAGACTTCCAATTACACCTTGAGAAAACTGACCTACTTTCGTCCTTGTTACAGTTTTTGGAGCACTGGAAATGGAACCCCAATAATTCTTTAAGAGCCAGGTACTTAATTATGACGATCTGGAAATTGATATTGCTTGAAATGGGAGACTCAAATCATGTCAAGCTGTGTGATGAATATTTGATCCAAAAGTATGACATCAAAAACAAAAATAGTGGGGATTCGGCAACAAAGAAGCTAACTTGTTCCCCTCTAGATTACTTCGCATTCAAGGAAGATATATTGGATAAGTATCCATTGTTCGATAATCCAACTTTGCAATCTTTCAACTTTGATGACTTCAAAAGAACTTTGGATGAAGAGGGGATTGACTCCAATCCTTCGAATGAACTCAACCTGATGAACGAACTCAACGAAAGCTCTTACAAGTCATCAACTTCAGGTGTGGACTACGATGATAATGATAAAAGCCCACAAAGCACACCCGTGACGGACCAAGTGCAACACAATTACTCGGATTCAATTGAAAGAAAGTATAAGGAATATATGGCGTTGAATTATTATTCTAATTCGCTATCGAATTTGATTGAAAGTCCTAGAACTTACAAGTCGCATACAGTTCTCAGTCAATTGCCGGCTCAAACTGTTCACATTGCTACTCCAATACCTTCTCCTACTTTAATTGCATCTGACTATATGTCAGGGGGTGAAAAAATCCGGAGATCCTATCAAGTAAATCAAGCAATGCCTTTCATTTACCCAAATACAGAGGGAGACCTCCAGGGTCTGGATACAAATGTACCTTTGGCCATTAAGGAGGCTGATCGCATCTTGAAGGATTCTGTGTATGAAAGCTACTCTAAAAAGAGATTATGGGAAGAGAGAGAATTGTTTATGACACAAGAGCGAGGGTATAAGAGTGAATACAACCAATCTCCTGATTTTGATACAAAAAGCAGTTCCACTAAAACTGAAACTAGCAAGGATGAATTAAAAATACTACGTACAATCAACAGGATAGAGTTGTTCTACAAGAAAAATTTCATAAGGTTCAACACATTCATTCAAGTTTTGCTAGAAACAATCAAATCTAATAAACTTGACTACAACTTGAACTTCCCTGAATGGGAGCTTAACCCTGAAACTTCATACCTAAACAAAAATGCTTCCGCAAATTTCGATCCAGAAACAAAATCAAAGATTGAGTTTGTCTTGATGCTGCAGCTTGAGGTGATAAATGTGAAGGAGATAACAGCAAAGGCATCAACTGGAATTATTTTTCTACTCCTCAAATGGTTCAAAATCAACCACGTTATCAAATTTTATTATCTTACTTCATTACTATTCGATCAACAGTTTTTTACTCTTTCACTCGACTATCTAAGCAGAAGCTTCAATAACTCCAATCTTCAAAGTACAGATAAAGATGACGAGATCACTGAATATGAAGTTTTGATCAACCAAAACAAAATTATGAATCCCAAAATTGCATTACCTAAATTTGAATTCTTCAATAATTGTTTGAATCGTTTTCCCTCAGACTTCAAGTACAAACTCGTCAACAAGAATATTATACTGCATCTCCCTAAAATCATGGATGATGATGGCATTAGCAACACATACATCAAGGAGTACAACGAAAACTTCTGCTTCATTTTAAGTAACGTATTAAACATCACAAACAAAATCTTGATACCAAATATAACCCAGAGGATTTTCACTTTAAATGAGTTGAAACCATCAGAATTATATAAGATGATAGTTTTGAACTATGAGAATGAATTCGTCACTCTCCCTATTCTCAGGATTTTGAAGAAGCTAGTTCCCTACCAAGGAAGAAAGTGGAAGTCCGTTAATATGGACTTGATCTCCCAAATTTACTTAAAAACGCCGTTAACACTAAAAGATAATTGGCTAAGTGGCAAAGATCTTGAAAGTGACTTCAATAACTCCTACGACCAAGAAATATCCTTCAGGGCCTTATTACAATTCTACAACGTTCGAAATTACCAGAAAGAGATGGAATGGATTGGTTATCAAGTCAACAAAGACGAAGATATTCCTTTGTTGAGCTTGGGGGAGGAGGAGGATGTATACTGGTAGACATGAACTTATGGATTGGGTTTCGTATGGTCTGGTGTTTGAAATTCCGTGGAGCCATCACTTGCCGGTAAATGTTCAGCGAATATGCAGTTCACTAGTCAGTATTCTGTAGATATCATTAGTTTTGCGTTCGCCTTGTTCTGTGTAGCCAAGTTCAAAGTATAATACATAAGGTTGCTGTGGCTCTTCGGATCGGTGTTCTATGGACACTGCTTCTTATCAACATGGTTGTAGACCCAAGCGCAGTCACGGCTAATAGTGGAACTGGTTCGTCTCTCAAAAATATTATACCATATTCTTCTAGAGATTCCGTAATTGAGTTGATTACTCTAGGTAATACCACATGTACTGCTGTTATTGTCGGGATATCTAATAAATGGTACGGAATGCTCATCAAGAGGAAACACTGTACGAGCCCAAGCAAGATAAGAAACGACCTATAGTTGGTCATCCTAGCACATTACTACTGACATATAAGCTGCAGTCGCAAGAATAAATAAGCTACACTCAATGATGCCAACAGTGACTTCGATCATGGTGGTTCTTTCGATACTCGAATGGCTTCACCAACTTTTCAAGCGATCTATGGCACCGTAAGCTCCAGCAAAGCCTTCAAAACAACATGATTAGGATAAAAGCACCAGAAATACCATTCTGGCCTTGGTAGCCATGATCAGAGCAGGTTTGGCCATTGTAACACACCGCCACAGACTGGCCCCAATTCACCCTGGCCACCCATTCGCAGCTACACTAACATTATCACCATAACGTGCGACCGCCAAAAAAATTTTATTGAAAAATTCCCAGCAACCTCTCTCTTTAACTACTACAAAATGGTCAAGTTAACGCAAATCGACGACGAATCCAACGCTGCCTTCAGCCAGCCTGAAGCCACCACCGTGCCAAAAACCGAATCCTACAGCGACAGCGAATCCGAGAGCGACAGCGACGTGGAAGATGACTTTGACTACGAAAACGAAACCATCTACGACAGAATCGTGGCCTTGAAGGACATAATTGCACCAGAACAAAGAGTGAAGATCTCCTCTTTCTCGGAATCCGTGAAGTCCTACGTCAACTGTGGATTGAACAAGAGCGGTACCTTATTGTGGGCCTTGACCTCCTCGGCCTTGTTGTTAGGTGTCCCATTATCCTTGGCTATCTTGGCTGAAACCCAATTGCAAGAAATGGAAAACCAACTCTCCTTACAGCCAGGTGCCCAAGATGTGTTGGCTGCCGGTGCCGAAGCCGAAAAGAAGCCATCTGCTTAATGAGTTATCTTGTACATACCTGATGCGAGTCGGCGGATGACATTCTACAAGGCTCGAATCTATAATGATCTCTTTATGTATCTATACTTCCTGATGGAATCAATAAATAGTCTGCTGGAAGAAAGCTGACCCACAGTAGATCCACCCCACTCTGTAGTATTAGAGTGAGGCATTGCCTCGGTACCACGCCTACGCTCTCTTGTGCTTGATTGACAAGGCATAGATGTCCAAATAGGTGGTGATTTCGGTGATGATCTCCACCACGAACACACTGTGGATACCTAAGGTGATTCCAAGCCCCAACCAACTGACAGAGTGCAACACCAAGTCTCTGTCGTATCCGTAGAGACTGATCAACACCTTGGAGATGAAAAGCTGCAACACGGGGGTGATCATAGGAACCTGGATCATGGGGAACGACTGGAGGGTCAAGTGAGCCAAGATGATTCTGCCGACACTGAATGCAACCGTAAAGCAGATGGACAAAACCAAAGCAAATCCGTGGTTGGAGGTGACTTCGGGATAGAACCACACAAATAAAATGACCACACCGTAGTACGAGAAGAATGGAAGCAACCCCAAGTATGCGTCGTCGACCTTGGACTTGGCCAGGGTCTTGGATTGCTTTTCGTAGTACTTGGTGACGTTCTTCATGGCGGAGATGATGTTGAAGTACAACGAGCCTAAGCCAGCGACCACGTAGAACGCGGAGGTCGAGATCTGGTACAGTCCTTGGAAGCCAAGGGACGACAAGTCCAAGTCCATCAACTTGATGTTCCAGATATCAGGCCCCAAAATCCCGGTGATGATGTAGAGGCAGCAGATCATCAACACACCTTCAACTGGACCACTGAACTGGGACAAGTACAAGGTGTGGGTGTGGTACTCTTCCCAGGTGGACACGTAGAAGTTGCACACCGTTGCAAACTGGGACAACATGAGCAAACCGCCAAAGCCCATTCTGAGCACAGACGCAAAGACCAAGGCACCCAAGCTGGTATTGATAGCGTCGATGGAGTGGTCAAACAACTCGCCCAAGGGACCTGACTGGCCGGTTCTTCTGGCGTGGCACCCGTCACACCCATCAAACGTCTGGTACATGAACAAGCCAAACGCATAGAAGAAGTAGCACCATCTGGGAGTCTCACCACTATTCAAGTAGGGGTCGTAGTAGAACACGCATGCCAAATTGACCAACACCCACACCAAGCCGAGGAGGGTAATCACGTTGGGTGCCATGGACAATGGAAAGATCTTGACAAACGAGTTCCACCATGCTTTGAGGATATATTTAGAGATGATGGAGTGGTCCTCGGACGAGTACTTGTACAAACGCAAGTTTTCCAACTTGTTTGGAGGAATGAAGAGACCCATGCTGGGAGATGTCGATCAACGAGTCCTGGAGGTGTTGGGCTTCTTAAATGTTTCATGTGCGAGAGAGCGAGCAAGGTTGGGTGGGGCACATACTGGACCGAAGATGAGGCTAGACCGAGATGAGGGTGACGACGGGGCAGGCTACAGTAGGAAGGCAGTGGGAAAGAGGCTGGGTCCAGCCGTCCTGCTCTGCCGAATGGCGGGACACGGCTTTCGGCGTGGTGTTTAGTTCTAGGCTTAGCATAGTTGGCTGTGAAAAGCTCAGCAATGATAAGAATTACCAGGCCACATGGCCATGTATGATTTGAAATTGAGCGAAGCTACGGGGATTTTTCAAATTTCGTATATATGTGAGGCAGTAACCCACACGAACATCGTCACTGTTGTCGGTGGTACTAGCGTTCCAGCATCATTGCTACTACTCAGTTGGGGTCAAGATACCAGAAGTGCAGCTGATTTTGTGGACTTTTCGCGATCGCTAGAATGTGATTGAAATCCACTGGGCCGGCACGATCATGGTATATCGAAGGCACTAGTAAATGCAAGTCCGTACCTAGACTGATCTGGCCTTTTGGAAAAGTCAATTAACAGCCACATACAGCCGTATTTGCAATAATATACACATAAGTATGTTTCTGCGCAAAAAGTACTATTTAAGCTATGCTCTGATCCTGAACGCAACGTGTCTCGTCTAGCGACGAGGACAGCATTGCGGAGACAGTAGGTGCACAAGGTACTTCACACACACAACGCAACACAGTAATGTGAATTTCAGAGACTTTTGTATATTTTATCAAAAATTTGAGAATCTATTCGCGTATTCGGTCTACACGGACTTTTTGTGATCTACATGCGACTACATCAACTGTCATATTCTAACCTTGATATTAATTATTTAAATATATAGGAACCCAAAACCATTTAGTACAAGAAATACATAACACGTAAGAAATTCGTTTAATCAACTTCTTCCATGGCGGATTCAACAGCTGGTTCAGTGGAGGAGGTGGTGGTACCGATTTCAGCTTCAACTTCTTCTTCTTCGTCAATGTTCAAACCCAAGGAGATCAATCTGTTGATTCTACCGGCGAAGGAAGATGGCTCGTCCAAGGAGAAACCAGAAGTTAACAAAGCGGTTTCGTATAATAAGGTGGTCAAGTCCTTGACGGTCTTGTCTTCAGCACCATCGGCTTCAACCTTCTTCTTCAATTCCTTGATGATAGGACTCTTTGGAGAGATTTCGAAGGTCTTCTTGGAAGACATGTAGGAGGACATGGTGGTGTCTCTCAAAGCTTGAGCCTTCATGATTCTTTCCATGTTAGCGGACCAGCCGAATTGACCAGTTCTGATGGCAGCTGGAGCGTCAACCAACTTGTGGGAAACAACAACCTTTTCGACTTGTTCACCCAAGACTTCCTTCAAGGCCTTGGTCAATGGTTCGAATTCGGCGATTTCCTTTTCTCTTTCAGCCTTTTCTTCTTCGGTTTCTTCCAAGTCGAAGTCCTTGGTGATGTCAACCAACTTCTTGTCTTCGAATTCCTTCAATTGAGTCATGGCGTATTCATCAATTGGGTCAACCAAGAACAAAACTTCGAACTTCTTGGCCTTCAAAGCATCCAAGAATGGAGACTTTTCAACAGCCTTGATGGATTCACCAGTGATGTAGTAGATGTTCTTTTGGTGTTCTGGCATACGGGTGACGTAGTCAGACAAAGAAGTGTACTCTTCAGTAGACTTGGTAGAGTAGTATCTCAACAACTTAGACAAAGCGTTTCTGTTTTGTTGATCTTCGTGAACACCCAACTTGATGTTCTTGGAGAAAGCAGTGTAGAACTTTTCGAATTGTTCTTGGTCTTCAGCAATTTCGTTGAAGGTTTCGATCAACTTCTTGACGATGTTCTTCTTAATGACCTTCAAGATCTTGTTTTGTTGCAACATTTCTCTGGACAAGTTCAATGGCAAGTCAACAGAGTCGACAACACCCTTAACGAAACCTAACCATTCTGGGATCAATTCATCAGCTTCGTCAGTAATGAAGACACGACGGACGTACAACTTGATGTTGTTCTTCTTCTTCTTAGATTCGAAAGCATCGAATGGAGCTCTCTTTGGAACGAACAAGATAGCTCTGAATTCTAATTGACCTTCAACAGAGAAGTGCTTAACAGCCAATGGGTCTTCCCAGTCGTTAGAGATAGACTTGTAGAAAGCATTGTATTCTTCTTGAGTGACGTCAGATGGGTTTCTGGTCCACAATGGCTTAGTCTTGTTCAATTCTTCGTTTTCAGTGACCTTTTCAGTGATCTTCTTGGTCTTTGGCTTTTCGGAATCTTCATCTTCAACTTCTTCCAACTTAGCCTTCTTGTCGTCACCTTCCTTGGCTTCTTCTTCTTCATCTTCAGCTGGGACTTCCTTCTCGACGTCCTTGGTGACAACCAATTGGATTGGGTAAGAGACGAATTCGGAGTGCTTCTTGACGACTTCCTTGATTCTCTTTTCTTCCAAGTATTCCAATTGATCTTCCTTCAAGAACAATCTCAAGACGGTACCACGGCCCAATCTTTCGTTGGTTTCGTCCAAGGTAACAGTGAACTTACCACCGGCGTTGGATTCCCAGATGTATTGTTCGTCGTCGTTGTGCTTGGAGATGACTTGAACGTGGTCAGCGACCAAGAACAAGGAGTAGAAACCGACACCGAATTGACCAATCATGGAGACATCGGCACCAGCGGACAAAGCTTCCATGAAACTCTTGGTACCAGACTTGGCAATGGTACCCAAGTTCTTGACCAAGTCAGCCTTGGTCATACCAATACCGGAATCTCTGATTTCCAAAACCTTTTCTTCAGGCTTTGGGGTGATTCTGATGAACAATTCTGGCTCGGTTTCCAACTTGGATGGGTCAGACAAAGCTTCGTATCTGATCTTGTCAATAGCATCGGAAGCGTTGGAGATCAATTCTCTCAAGAAAATTTCCTTGTTGGAGTAAACGGTGTTGATAATCAAGGACATCAACTGAGAGATCTCAGCAGTGAACTCGTGGGTTTCGGCTTTAGCGTCAGACATCTTTGCTTAGTGTAGTTGAAGAACGAAATTTCGCAAGCAAAAAATTGGCGGTTCTTTGATTTATATACTGAAACTTTATTGCAACTGTTCTCGACGATTGAGAATGTCGAATTTTCCATGAGCTTCCATTTGGGGCGGGCAGCGCACGACTTTGTATGGGTGCCAAATTCTAGAAGGTTGATCGGGTGCGAAATGTGGAGTGAGTGAGGATGGAGGGTGGGATTGGGATCAGGGAAAATGGGGATGAAAATTCATTGATATGAGCTACCTAGCCAGTCTCAAAGTAACTGATTGGCCCGGAGGCTCTGCGAAATTGATCTGAATTCATGACAATTGAACTTGTCCTGGGATTTTAAAACTACTTTCCAGTGTAAGTTCATAGAAAATTCTAGGTTGTTTGCTCCGCGAACGGCACCTCGCTATAGCTTCGTGAGCTGCGGGAACAAGAGGGGCAAACCGATAGACTGGGCCCTCCCTACTGCAATTCTAGAAAATCCCTACTGCCGAATAAATTGCCAGTGTGGTTCTATTGCTTGCTAGGAATCTCGACTGTATTAGTACTACAAGCATATCCCATTCGTTGCGTATACGTATCTATGTCCTAGAAATGCGTCATATCCCATTATTTACCGTAAATTACCCACGGCTAGAAATTAAAAACTAATTCCTCAGTCTCGACCCCGCAGTCGATGCACCTCTTCTTGACCATATTCTCCTCTCCCGGAATGCTCAAGGGCGCAGACCAATCATGGACATGTCTGTCACCCAAACTGTGGCCATTTCTCAATTTTCTGGTGTATTCTTCCGCTCTTGTCTTCTTCCTCATCTCCAAAAGCTGGTCATTGTATTTTTTATCTCTTCTCTTGATTCTCATGGCTTCTCTCCTCTCCCATTCTTCATCGAGTTTCTCGGACGAACCCCATTTTTTCCAGGCAAACTGCTCCACCTGGAACCTCAAGAAAAGCTGCATTCGCGAGTAGCCATGTGGATTGGGCTTTTCAATTCTTGGTAACAATGCTACGTCCCTGAGCTCGGGATCAGTGAGAAGATAGTCTTCCTTGCACTCTGTCTTGGTCAACAACGAGTACTTTTCTGGTTTCTCCTTGACACATTTACGACACGCTCTCACCTGCCAGAAATTGGTGAAGAGATTGGGGTCAATTTCTAGGGATCCGCACTCAAAGCATTTGGGTGCATTTTCAATGTCAATGGGGGGAGCCAAATCTTTAACGATAAGCTGCTCCTTCTGCTTTTCCTTCCATTGCTCTAAACTAAGACTATCAGCAGTAACCTCAGGCTCAGTCTCATCATTAAGAAAACCACCACGGGAGTCTGTCAATGTTGAAAAATCGAATTCAATGTAGTCTTTACGTTTTATGGAGGGCACCTCATATTTGGAGCCTGGTGTATTCTTTGTCTGTGCCTCAACTGCCTTTTTGAGGCCCTCTGGCACTGGAATGGGCCTAGGAGCAGTTGTTGTTGCATCACGATTATTTTGGGCCAAGTTCTTGCGGATTTCGAGAGCCTTCTTGCGGTTTTCCTCTATTCGTTTGCGCTGTTCTGGGGTTAATTCGACCCTAGGTCGCTTTAGACTAGGCTCCTCGTTCGGTAAGTGGAATCCATTTCGGATCTGATTCATCGATGTGGTTGGGACAGGAGTGCTGGAAGGAGCTGGGGTGCGTTCGGCTCCAGTGGAGCTTGCTGTAGATGTGCTGGGAGGCTCCACGCCATTTCGCTTCTGGGCTCTTTCGAGGGCTCTTTTTCGATTTGCCTCCTATTGGTTAGTAATGCTGCGAGCTAGGACCTCGGAATACATACTATCCTCCTGCGTTGCTCGTCTTTTAGAGCTCCTTTAGCAAAGGACATGATACTGATGGCAAACCAGACCATCAGGATGGCTGATCAGGTGAGAATGCGCACGTGAGACTATCACCACTGATTAAGCCCTCTTGGCAGTCCTTCCAAGGGCACTAAAACGGCTCGAAAATCACAAGAACTGCTCATGATTGGTACATCACCTATACGTGGTTGGATCGTGCAATTTGCGCTGGATAGTGCAGTTGTTCTATTGCTGTAGAGAAACTCGTCCCACCCCTCGCTATTCCCAGCTCAGACCACGTCGCGCTATTATTTGGGCAGGCAGCCCAACATTGTGGAAACAGTAATCAACACCAACCACCATGACACTCACCAAATACCAAAGAGGAGACCAGATCGAGGGATGGAACGACTGTCCGCCCATGGTGATGTCTCGGACCAGCAGCTCGTCCAGCGTGCTCAAAAGCAAGAGCAGAAGAGCTGCAAATCCAGTGGCAGCTGCCTCTTCTCGAAGCTCGAGTGGACTGCTGCCATCAGAACTCAGTCCAACTCCCACAATAGCGACAGCTATCCCGACAGCTACATCGCCTGCCACACCAACATCTCTCAGTTCGGACCACTCTCCAGAAGTGGTAGCGGCTCTCATTCACAGTGTACTCCAGAAACCATCCAAGCTTCCAGAACGTGAATTGGCTCATTATGAGCAAAAGCTCGGAGCACACATAAAATCGCTCTCCCTGCAGCATTTGGACTTCATCCACTCGGTCACAACCAGATTGCTAGCAGTTATAGACTCGGGAGAGTCCCGCGAGGACATCAAGAAGGAAGTGTTGGACTACATGATCCTCCACGATGGAGTCAGCTTGTGGTGCTCTCCCTTGAAGAAGATCGTGACGGGTGTCGTTTGAATAGCGATCTCTGGTGCGTTCAGGCCACTTCATTTACGAGACAACGATGTATATCTATTTAGAATTAGTACCAATACAAAAGGAATACCAATAAATTCACAGAAAAGTATAATCTGCAGTTCTGGCTTCTAACCATCTCCGCCAGATAACACCAACTCCACTACTCCTTCACTTACATGTTTCCACAATATTATACATAAATACTTCGTCTATACAAGTATACATGAATATGCAATCCTACATCTTCTTTCTTCTTCCAATTTGGGCTTGGAAACCAGTCTTGATCGAAGACACAGATCTGGTGGAACCACAAGCTTTACAGCTCAAGAAATGCAATCTGTTGGCGGATTCTCTCTTCAACTCGGTGTTCATGGATTTACATGTCTTACATGTAACGTATTCGATGATGTATCTTCTCAACACGGACTCCATTTGCTTTGGTTGGAACTTACCTCTCAACACTAATCTCTTCTCACCATCAATGGAACCAGAGGTACCCAATTCGGCAAACAAGAACTGTATCAAATGCTCTGGGTTTCTTTGCAATACGGTGGCGATTTCTTGGACGTTGGCGAACAAAGTCTTCTTGGAACCTTCTCTTTGACATACTGGTGGGGGAATTCTGAATTTTGGACCGGATCTGTCTCCAGCCAACTCGGGGTTGTTGGTCTTCAAGATTGTGAAAAAACGTGACAATAATGATTCGTATGGTAAGCCTTCAATTGAAGCAGGTTGTTCTTCTTCGGTGGGGGTGGCGGAATTGGTTTCTTCAATGCCCGCTTCTTCCAACTGTTGTTCGAAATCGGTGGCATCAAGGTTTTTGACGGACTTTTTCTTCTTCTTTTTGATGGAAAGGTCTCCCAATGCTGTGCTTAAGTCATCACCGGCTGGGGCTGGCGAGTCTTCTGATTCTTCAGTCTTCTTGGACTTCTTCTTCTTCTTCATACCGGAAAACATGTCGTCTGTACTGGCATCTGGGGCAGGGGAAGCAGAAGCCGATTCTTCTGGCTTCTTGACCTTCTTCTTCTTCTTTAATGTGGCGTCAAATCCTAAATCACTCATGATTGTTGATAAGTGTTCTCAGTGTTCTACTATGATGAAATATCTGGTAGTGGAAAATTTTTTTTACTCTATGTAAAATGGTGCTCGCACTACTCGTGTGACTAAGTAATATACAGGGGCCAGTGATTCACGACGGACACCACAGGCCGGTCTAGACGGTCTATTGTGGAGGGTAGAACAGTGTAGTAAGGATGGGAGACCCCAAAAATGTTCTGGGTACGGTTTTCAAGGCTCGTGGAGTATCAGAAAACATTAAGAATGCGCAACCAGCCAGTGACTTTAGATCTCCAAATTCTTAGTCTGGGCCTCAACAGCAGCCAACTTGGCTTGCTCCTCGGCTTCCTTACTCTCAGAACCAGGCTTGTAAGTAATCTTGGTGTTTTCGCCATCTTCCTCCACCTTAAAACCGTCTTCAACGGCATATTTGTTCAAGAACCAAGTCTCGACTTCGTTTTGGTTATTGCTTTCCGCTTCGTAAATAGCGTCATGGCCCACTTCGTTCTTAACGAATGGGTCTGCTTCATATTGATCACACAAATGCTCCACAATCTTCAAATGTCCGTTGTATGCGGCCCAGTGGAGGGGAGTGTTACCAGTCTCGTTGGCTTGGGAGGCCAATTTGACCGCATCCTCATGTGGCAAGATGGACAACAAGTAGATGACTGTATCCAAGTGGCCGTTACCAGCAGCGGCATGTATTGGTGTGCTCAATGTGATGTCATCCTTAATGGAGATTAATGTTTTTGGGTCGATTTCTTCGAAAATTTCACGAAGAGTAGCCAAGTCTCCTTCCCTGGCATCGTAGATGACGGCGTCCATCTCTTCTTGTGTTAACTCTACCATTATGGATGTTTATAGTGGGTGGTGGTACTGGTAGTGGTTGTGATGGGGGCCTACAATCTTTTTTGGAGATGGGCACTGATGGGTAAGCAGTTACGTAAGCAGATCATCCTGACTAAAGGATGTATGAGTGAAACTTCTAGACCCTTCAACAGCCTCCATTTTGCCAATGCCACCCAAAATTGAAGTCCTTCCCGATGCTGAGCCGATCAAAAAGTCTCCAGTCAAGCCTAGAAAGAACCCCTTTGAGGTAAGGCCCAAAAAGACTACTGTCAAGCGAGAAGCCCTGGAAGTATATCCACAACGGAAAGGGTTGAATAAACCTGAAAACTTGGGTAACAAGCCAGTAGATCTCAAGTTCCAATATTTGGCAAGGGTTCTTGATGGTAGGATCGATGAAACATCCGTGGATTTATTGTACGAAAGAATATTTGCAACCTCCAGTGAACAATCCAGCCAGGAGTGGAAAGACCAACAATTGGAGAAAGTTGCAGACTTCAGCAATGAAGTCCAGAAAAGGTACCTTGTGGTGTCTTCGTTGCTAGATGACCTCATTGAAGTGCAAACATTTTCAGAAGAGAACGACCTCAAGGACCCGAATCTAATCAAGATCTCATTGCATGATATCCAGACATTCAGCAAACTTATCATCAGCATTTTGATACATGGAATTTATCCAGTCCTCAGCACTTTCAGCATCGGAATTCCAATAGAGAAGCGTCAACTAAAGGACTTCAATACCAGCAAGTTGAAGATTGAAAAGTTGAAACCTGAATCAGCCAAAAGTGCCAACCAGTATCTTTCTCATCAAGTTTTACTAGAGCTTATCTATGAGAAGTTTTCCATACTATTGAACAAAGAGTCCGATGTGAAACAATTGATGATCAAGGGTACTGGGTTTTCAGATTTTCTCGTCATCACTATCGCATTGATTACAGTCCCTCAATTCCAGGTGAATAGACAAAAATTGCTTGAAGAATTTCAGTCTGTTATATCTATACCAGAGACATACGAATTGTTTCAAACTTACACATTGTTAATATCTACCAGATCCCCTCCATACTTCAGGGCATTCGTCATGGAAAAGTTGACTTCGTTGCACTATGATGCGCCTAAGAATGACGGCGTTGAAACCCTTATTGAATTCGTTCTTGGCTTGAGAAAAAATGATGATGTAACTTTGGAAAAGTTAGATCAAGTTGCAAATATAGTACTCCGCAAACCCAAGCATATTGGGACGGTCGAGTATTTTGAAAATATAAGCAAACAATGTTACGATCTTCTAGTGAACATTAACAAGCCTACTATTACGAGTTGTGTTGGACATTTGATTGAAAAGCTTTGGTTCAAAAATGATAGAATTGTTAAGGACTTTTTCTTCTCCAAAGTATGGAATATCTTCGACCCACCTTCAGGTTCCGGAGTTCTAGTAACTGAGGCAGAATTGAACAATAGTATTAATGTGTTGATTTCTTTGAGCAAGAAGGGACTTGAGCCCGAAATCACAACTGTGTTGTTTAACAGAATTTTGGTGGCATTGTGGTCTTATCTCGTGTTTCTCAGGCAGCATCAAAAACTGTATGAAGCTATCACTGGAATTCTAATTAGTTACTTCACATTAATTAAAGACAATGAAGATGCATATGGATTGAGAGTACTCGTTCAAAACTTACTTTCCGAAGGAGGAGAGTATTGGCAATTTGAAATTGGTTCAAACGGACTAGTTCAAATAGTATCCAAGCCCAAGTCATTATCAAGTACTGCTAAGATGAACCAATTTATACGAAACTTGGACAATTTCAGTGGCTATTTTCTAGATTTTTTGTCGGAAGTAGACGATGAATTAATTCAACAATTGTTTCTCCAGTTGCTTGATAAGTGGCTATTTCCTAAGGAACAGCTTGGTCAAGATATCAATAATGACTTTTTTATGTTGATTGATTTGCGATTATTGGAAGGTATTGGAAGCAAATTCAAAGACGTCTTAGCAAAAACACCTCAAGATATTTTGCGGATAGTGAGAGACTTCTTAAATCCCGAACTCGTAAAACCTAGTACTGTCGAACAGAGTAATGATGAGGTCGATTCTGATGATGAAGATGATTTTGATTCCGGTATATTCCATCAAACTCTACCAGTTGTCTTAGAGTTATTATCAGCTATTTTATCAGAGACACCATCTTTTGACAAGGAAAGTCGTGAATTGGTTATCGAAATACAAAAGTCCTTAGGGAAAATTGCATCTTTAGATTTGCAGAAAAGCTTGCAGACTTCTTCACGAGCATTACATGATAGAATTGAAACATTGGTGAATGGTACGCCAGCCACTACAAACCAATTGGACAAAGATGGAGAAATACTCAAACGAGCTATTACTAGCTTAAACGATCCCCTTGTGCCCATCAGAGCCCATGGACTACACTTGTTAAGACAGTTGGTAGAACTGAGAAGTGAGGCAATTAGCTTAGACTTTGTGATTGAATTACACTTGGTTCAGCTCAAAGACTCTGAGCCTTATATTTATTTGAATGTCATAAAAGGACTTAGAAGTTTGATGGATTTACACCCAAAGGAAACAATTCGAATCTTGGTTTCCTCATATGTTAACGAAAACAAGGACATGGGTCTTGATGAGCGGCTCAAAATCGGAGAGGCATTTTTAGGTTACATCCAAACGAATTTTCAGATGTTTACTGGGGATACCGCAAAATTAATAGTGGATGCTACACTTTCAACAATTCGATTGTCCAATGACAAAGAAAAAGAAGATAATAGGTTGAGAATGTCTAGCATGTCGTTACTTGGAGTTTGTTGTACCTCAAACCCACTAGGAATGCTGGAATATTTGGAAGATATTTTAGATTGTGCATTTGGTATATTGGAATTGGAAACTGACAAGGAAAGTGCCATTATGAGAAGGTCGGCTGTGGTTCTCATCCATGATATAATCTTGGGAACCTCGGAATCGGATACTGTTCCCTTCCCCAGCAGGTATAGGGATAAAGTCATCACCATCTTGACCTATACAAAGGATAACGATAATGATCTATTAGTGAGGGAACAGTGCACCAAGGTATTGGATACCATTGCAGAATTGGCCCAACTAGGAATGGAAGTAGCCAGCGAGAGATACAGAACAGGTTAAGAGTAATAATCTGTAAGTGAGTCGATTCAGATTGCGTACGAGCTTTATAATTGGTAGCCTTGTGGAGATTTCCTATATAACCATTTTGGATTTAAAGAATATTGCTGATGAGACTTCTACCGTGACACATTTGCAGTTGGATTAACGAATTCTCTACTTGTAGGCTTGTTTGAATAGCTCTGTGGACCGAACAAACATATCAATCGATAAACTATGTGATCGATTAAGTGGTCGAAGCTAGAACCGGATAATTTGGCAAGCTTGCACTTAATTTATTCACTTTGAGTGGACAAATAGCCCATCAATCTCTGCTTGAAACGTTCAACAAAAATATCCATTGTCTTTCTGTCACCATCATATAAGTCATCAAATTCAGGAAGATACGATACAACCGCATTCAACCCTCCTTCGGAGCAACTTATCATACAAACAGTCATGTAATACCGCAAACCAATGCACTGACTGAAATAAATGTCCTGAATCTGATATGTACTTTCTGGTTGCTTAACCTTGCCAACGTTTGAAATTAACAATGTATGCCTGACTGCTTTCTTGACAATAGGATAAAACTGCTCATACGAGAGGTATCTTATAATGCCCAATGCATGAATTACACCCAACTTACGTTTTTCGATTGTCTTATGCAAAGCAGCCTGTACATACCTCATGAATTTCTGCGTGCATCCAGAGAGAGGGGGTAGATGAAAGTATTGCACCGTTGCATTACAGCCGAAATTAAATTCCAGTTGGGCTGGTAAGTACCGTCTAACATCAATGGCTATGGCAGTCTCCGTACTGAATTTATGACCTGTGGCATAATGGGGGAAAACTATTTCTTCCAAGCATTCCATGGCTATTGCTTGTACATATGGAGTTAAAGTGAGTCCCTGCGACCTGCAATAGTGAAGGACTTTTTCAAGTTGGCTTGAACTCAAGTTGGCAATTGCAAATTTTGAATCCGGAACTGGGACAGCCTTGCCTGTTTTAAATACGGGGTTTTTGGCACAATTAGGTTTCATATCGGATAAAAGCATGCTTAAGTACTCAAATGTCTTAGTAACTCGAGGAAATAGCTGAGTAAACTTAGCCACAAGGAGCTCTGTAACTGCTGGCTTGTACACCTTATTGTTTTCAATAGGTGGATCTGGATAAGGTGGAAGATACTCGTAATCTCTTTCAAGGTCAAAGATATACTCCACTTGCTTTTCATCTGTCAATTGTGATAATTCCTCGCAAATTTCCTTATGGAGTTGTACTCCAGAGAGACCATCATACAATATGTGATCAAAATAGATACACAAATATTGTTCTCCTGTAGGTAGCTCAAACACTTTAATCCTCCAGAGGGGAAGATTTTCTACGTTTACCGGGACATAGAGCCTTGACACTCTATTGAATATTTCCTTGTTAAAAACTTCGACACGCTCAAAACTGACAACATCATCAAAACGGATCTTCAGCACAGTCCGAAGTTCCCAGTCGGTATATCCGGTTACCGAATCATCTTCTTCACTTAATTTGTAAAAATTATAAGTTAGCCAAATTCTTTGCCTCAAAATTCTGGTCAATGCATTCGACAATTGGCTCGGATTGAATGCTACATTGAATTTTGCTATGACATTAAAATTAGGATATAATGATTCCACATTCCGACAGAGAAATACCCGTTCGAGGTAGCCAATTTTCCTTGTTGTTTCTACCATAAGAAATAGTTGTAATGAATTTTATCAATATTTCGTTTATAGGCAGAAATGGTGATAATAAGTATACTGTAGTAAACGCCAAACGGTCATAGGGCTCACCATAACCCCTGCCTCTTCATTATTTAGAGCACAGGGCACAATCTGGTTTCCAAGACAACCCCACCCTTGTAGCCTGCCACTAGTAGATCATGATCTGTGCCAAGGCTGGGTTTGACACATTTTGAGAACTAAACCCTAAATTTGATCTAAGCCACAGATCGATTTATAGAGTCCGGTGTCGGGCAACAAACCACCGAGGAAAGGGGGTTCTCGCAGAAATTTGTCATCTATACTTTACAACAACGGTTGTGCAAGTAAGATTCTTGCCAGTATGGCACTTTTTCAAATCAGTTCAACCCCTATTCCCAGACACTCCAGCAACACTGTAATAATTGTCTGCATAGGAGGTGTTCTTTTGTCCCATTTCATTCCAGTAGCATTCTAAATGCCGGGCTTGAATAACACAAAATTGCCTCTATGCAATAGTTGACTGGAGCACAAAGTCAGCATTCTGAGAGAAAGGCCTACTTTATGTTTGTGTTATGGTATGTCTAGGAAATACGAGGCAGATTCAACCGAAAATTAGTGCCACATGCAGCATCTACTTTTACGCTTGCTACAGTAATCCCGACATTGACTCTTTCCCTAACTAATTTCGCTATTTGCAAAACTAACCAATTTCTCTTTGATTTGTTCCACACAAACGTCCATCACCCGTTTCTTCCCATCATATAAATCGTTAAATTGAGGGAGATACGATAAAACTACGTTCATTCCTCCTTTGGCTGTAGTTCCGATACAACAAGACCAATAATAGCGCATTCCTAGGTTTTGGCCAAAGTACAACTGGGAGATATTGTAGGCATCCTCTTTTTCTTCTTTCACCACGCCAAGATTAGACACTTGTAGGGTGTATCTTACTGGTTTGGAAATGAACATTTTGAACTTCTCATATCCAATATATCTGATCATTCCCAATTCCCGGAGAGATGCCACCCCATTGTTTTCAAGATGCTTGTTCAATCGAGTCTGTGTGTTTCGCATGGCTTCCAATGTGCGTCCCATGATGGGAGCAGTGTGAACTGAATATACCGAAGCCAAACATCCGAGAAGGTATGGCTCCGCAGGAAGGTTCTTTCTCGCATCAATTGGAATTGCTGATTCAGTACTAAACACTTTCTCTGGATCATACCTGCTAAAAAATACTTCCTCCAAGCACTGCATGACGATTGTTTGCACGTACGGGGTCAATGTAAGTTTTCTTGACCTGCAGAACAGAAGGATTTGTTGAAGCTGTTCCGGTTTGATATTGAATATCACTGAAGTTGTATCCGTGGAGTAAACCAACTGTTTTGTGTTGAATTTGGGGTTTTTCTTAAGATTTGGTACCCATTTATTGAATAAGGATGCCACATATCCGTAGGCTTTAACGACACGAGGGAAAAGTATTGGAATAATAAATGCGAGTTTGTCCCATATTCTTGGTCTATAACAGTCAAAATCTTCACAAGGGGCATCTGGACGTTCTGGTAAAAACACTGCATCCCTTTCTCTGTCAAAGATATATTCAATTTGCTTCTCATCTCCCTCAGTCTTGGATAGTTCTCGGCAAATTTCTTGGTGGAGTCTTTTGCCAGACAAGCCATCGAAGATGCTGTGATCGAAGTACATAAACACGTATTGATCTCCATTTGGAACCTCAACAACTCTTATCCTCCACAAAGGATTTTGCACCATGACTGGGATTATGATTTTATTAATTTCATTAAGGAATTCTCCATCGAATGCTTCACGATGCTCAAAGGTGACAACTTCATCGAATCGAATTTTGTTCAAAGTTTGAAGCTCCCAATCAGTATATCCAGTTATAGCATTATCCTCTTCTGTCAATTTAAAGAAGTTGCAAGCCAAGACTGGACGCTTATGGATCACATTCATCAATGCTTTGCTCAATTGAGCAGCTGTAAAGGTTTTGTCGTATTTGGCACATACGTTGAAATTGGTGAATAATCTTTCAACATTACGGCAGATCGAGATTCTTTCAAGATAACCAACCTTTCTTCCAAGCTCCACCATGATAAAGCTTATCTAAATTGGTAGTTAGGATGCAGCATCCTCGTGTAGTATTTATAATTCACCGTTGCTCGCCGACTGCAGATCTCAAGATGGAGCAGATCACGGATTTGCAAATCTAAGTATGAGATCACCAATTAAGACCAGTACGATAAGCAGTTGGAGAATCTCACATGCAATAGAAGTTTTCCAAAGCACAATATGTAATTGAAGTCCGGCATGTCTGTTTGGTTTGGTTAAAAGAGTCAATCCAAAAAAATAGTCATCTATTATAGTTCTAGCTTAGCACAAGATTCATAGTAATCACAATACGGTAGACACATGCCAAGATGGCTAACTATGATACTTTATCGTCACACAGCCAGTATGATACCGGCTGATCTTTCCAGTTTACGTTCAGAAAGGCGAAGATCGTCCCTCACTGCGAACTCATTTCAGTGCAGATCACTAATACAATAGCGCATTGCTTATTCTCATAATTTCAGTGTATTGGATCTGAAGAACAACCAGATCCGCATTAATTAATCTACCAATCAGATAGCAGGGGCACTACGACAGGTTACTATGCTTGCTATGAAACTACTTTTTGCACCCACTAGAATCTAGTGAGTAAGAATTAAGCCTAAAGAAACGCAACATGAAGGCCTGTTACAAGGTCGATTGGAATCTTGAGCTTGCGATTGTTGGCATACATTGTTACGGTATAGATATTGATATTATCTTGGGAAGAGCTGGAATATCATTGCAACCAACAACTTGAAAAGACCTCGCTCACTGGTCTGGGCCACCTGGAAACGGCCCTCGACAAGAAAAGCCCGGTTAGTGCTAGATGGAAAATACAAATGATGTCTGCAACAATTATTTGTCTAACAATATAGAAGATGGGATGCAGTATTGATGTCGATGCGAACGCTCTTGTGCAAGGATCGAATTCTGGATGCGTTCCTCTCTTGCTGGATTTTCGGAGATTTCTGTTCGGGAGAGAAATGTATTCCAACGCATTCATCTTCATACCATTGGTGTGTTGAAGTTATTCAAGAGCCAGTCAGTAAAGTATCATTCACAAGGAAAAATTGCTGCTCCGAAGTGCTCTTTGAATTCAAATTATGTAAATTGACACCACACATTTGGTGGATGCTTCTGGTTTACTATATCGGTCTAAAAAGCTCCCGATTGAGACAAGTTATGACACCAGAGATTATCAGCAACGCCAAGTTGTGAGCCCATTTTCTCTAAAGTCACACAAACCACTCCAGTCAACCTAAAGTAGAGTAGTATTTTGCACCTTTTCCAGGCGATTCAGCCACCGTAGGCCACTGCCCGCTCCACAAAGCCAACTTTAGATGTTCCCTACAGGCCAAGAGTTGCACCCACACGCAAGACCGATGGCGTGCGCGTACCGACGGGATATCCATTTGATGCTACCACCACCACAAGCAGTTATCTAGCCAGCCATGGAGTTCATTGACCCCCAAATCGAACCCGAAAAGGAGGCTGTCCCAGACAAGGCCTCTAAGGACCAAACAGAGGAGACCGTGCAAAGATTGGAATCGGAAATCGACAAGGCGTACTCAGCAGTAGAACACAAGTTCCAGGACTTATGGACCAATGCCTCGACCCAAGCCACGGGATTGCAAGAAAAGATCAAGTTGGAAGAGCACAAGAAGCAGTTGTTGAGCCAATTGAGCAATGCGCGTCTGAACATCAACACTGAGCTGATTGAGACCATCAAGAGCCAGGCCAACCACGCGTTGGACTCGTTGGACAGCACCCTCGAACAGGTGGAAAAACAGGCTGGACAGTATGTCAGTCTGTTCACGTCGTTCTTCTCCAGCATTGTCAGCGTTGCCCCCAAGGAACAGGAGAAGGAGGAGGTGTTGTTTTCATTGAACGATTCTTACGGCACCAGTCGTTACGACACCGAGCTCTTCAAATTGCATACCTCTCCCAGCTACTACGTGGATGAGGCCAGCGACGCGGCCAAGGCATTCGACGCCGACACCAAGACCACTGAGATCGCCGAGTTACTACAGAAATACCCAAACACCTTGACCAAGTTGATGAACGACCTTGTGCCTGTGAAGCTCCCCTACAACCAGTTCTGGTACTGGTACTTTGTGCACGACGACAAGTTGAAGGAGTCGGAAAACAAGAGGAAGGAGTTATTGGACAAGAAGACAGCCTCGGGTGCCGGCGACGACGAGGAGTTTACCTGGGACGACGACGAGGAGGAGGAGGAGACACAAGAGGAGGCAGTGGATGTGGCCAAAGAGGTGAAGCCCAAGAAAGACGACGACGACGACGATGATGATGATGACTGGGAGTAGTCTGCCTGGAGCTGTAGTGATTACGAATATACGTCTGGATTTCAATGTGTAGCCGTTAAGGAACGTGAGCATCACCAATCTGCCCATCCACTGGTATGTGAGTACTTTGATGAGCAAAGAATTGTTATTTTTACCAGAAGCGTACCAGAATTCTATAGAAAGTCAAGTATGTAACTTTAGGGAAATTTACTCCAGTTCAAGTAGCCGAAGCAGTAGTCATAAAATACCTCCGACTGTGCCATGTAAGCACTCTACTAATCTGGAGTAATAGGCATACCATGAAAGATAATGAAGCTTGGGTGCCGTAGCCCCACTTTTACTCTTTCCAGCATGGCCGGGTGCCCATTAGCACATCCTAGCAGCCCCGTTCTACTAGCTACTCTCGTCTCACTAAACCTGCCATCCCTACTGTCTGTTGTCGCACCCCGACATCTCCGACCCCCAGATCGACCGCAGCAATCGCACGAAATAAAATTCAACGAGTGGTTGTGTCTGACACTTTATCACCAACAGGTCCCCCATCACGGCATCCCATCCAGTGCTGTTTCGATTCTGCAGGCTCCAGATCGAATCTCAATACGGCGCCCTCCACCACCACCAGTCGCCTCCACGTGCCTCCATCCGCCCTGGCCTTCCCATAGACAGACACTCCCGACCACAGACATTCGGTCCTCAGACACTCCGTCCACAGATACTCCGTCCACAGACACTCCGTCCTAGTCACTCAGCAGACACGACCACAGCGGCGGCTACAATCCACCACCCACCAATCCACTCATCCATCTCTGCATTTCCATCACAGTCATGTCACGCCGTGTGTGGGTCAAAAGGCCCAATGGAACCCCCACCACCATCTCCGTGCACCAGCAAGACATCGTCGACGACCTCAAGCTAGCCATCATCAACAAGTTTCCCACGTCGTTGGCCAGGTCCTACGACCCGGCAGACCTCATCATCAAGATCCACCCCAGGCCCGCCAGCGCCAACACCCACAAGAAGAACATCCCGCTGTTCTCGTTTCCAGACGTTTCTCGCAGTCCCAACTCGCCGTTGGCCACTTCCACCTCCTATGCCATCACCACGCTAGAACCAGACCAGAACGTGTGGGTAGTGTTGGACAACCACTTCCCCAAGGGAATGACGATGCAGGACTCGTTTATCATCGAGGTTCCCGAGCTCGACCCCCTACTGGCCCAGCACAACCAGAACTTCAGCTACTACAACCAGCCTCCGCTGTTTCCCCTGGTGCAGCTGGCCTCCAGACCCGTGCAGCCGCCCCAGGACACCAAACCGTCCATCTCCTTCAACACCAGCCCCAAGTTCCACCAGCCCCAGCCCCAATATGGCTTCCAGGCATCCATCAACAACAACAAGGACCTCTCTATATCCCCCGAAATTACCGCCAAACAATCTCCTGCGCCCTCTAATATCCACAAGGGGCTCCAGGCAACCACCTCAAGTTCCCCAGCTCCCGAACTTGCTCCGCCTTCTGCCTCTGCGGAGCCCACAAGCTCCGCAGGATCAGACAATTCCCAGGTGGTGCTCTTGTTGCCCAAGAACTTCTCGTTGGCTGCCGGCAATCAACCTGGAATCAAAAACATCCAGGATCCTCATAAGAAAAGGTTGTCTTTCGACGAGGGCCTTATCTCCAAACCTCGTACTGACTTCAAGTCGCCCCCTACCCTGTCTACAAACTTGACCAGCATTGGCATGGCTGATAACCACCCAACCCCATTTCCACTAACTGTGGGCAACCAGTTGAAGCCCAGCTTGCCGGCCCTTGATGTTTCGCGGCTCTCGAGCGAACAGCTGATTAGCGATGGCGATTCATCGAGTACTCCGGACACGAGAAATGCAGTCTCCATGAACAACCAATTCTTTTCTCCAATCGCAGACTCCCCAACTACAGAAGGACCCTTGAGCAGTCTCGAAAACGTGTTAAAACCGGAGGTTGCTCCGGAAAAGAAAAAGGAAATTAAGCCGTTCAAGGAAATACTGAAGAAGAAATCCAGCAAATCTTCAGGGGCGAAAACGAACACAGAACGAGTGCTACCATCCATTTCTGTGTTGGTAGTTGAAGATAATGCCATTAACCAGGCCATTTTGGGGGCGTTTTTGAGAAAGCACCGCATACATTACCAAATCGCAAAAAACGGTCAAGAGGCCATCGACAAGTGGAGAACTGGTGGCTTCCACCTTGTGTTGATGGATATTCAGTTGCCAGTCAAGTCAGGTATCGAAGCAACCAAAGAGATCCGTCACTTGGAGAAGGTGAATCGCATTGGTGTGTTTGCTCAGCATGAGCTCACAAATTCCCACTACCACAATCAGACGATCCTCAAGCCGGAAGAGAAATTGGACTTGAACATCTTCAGGTCGCCAGTGATCATTGTGGCACTCACAGCTTCTTCCAACTCCTCTGTGGATAAGAAGAACGCATTGATGGCAGGATGCAACGACTACTTGACCAAGCCCGTGAACTTGGTGTGGCTCCAAAACAAAATCACCGAATGGGGCTGCATGCAAGCATTGATTGATTTTGAAGGCTGGAGAGACAAGCTGTGCAATGTGGTCAAGGACGCGAAACTGGTGGTCACTACCCCTAAGACGGAATCACCCGGAGTGCTATTATCCAACTCAAAACTTTTAACCAGTCAATAGAATCACCCGCAGTTCAGCACCTATTCCTAATATATAGACCTCAGGACCGCTGTACTCCTAATACATGAGACTATTAGAACAAACGTGACAATCAACCAACAAAGTAGAACTATTTCCTCAACTAAATTGTCTATAGTATGTGCAGAGGAGGGCTAAAATTAACCCGGTCTTTGTGCAAACTCCACATAGGTGTTTCAGCACTTCCATATATAAAAAGAAGCTGGTCATGGAAATACATGAATCAGGAGAAAATTAGTGCAGCTCAGTTTGTGGTCTCCATTATTCTTCTAGAGATGTGAAATTCGTGGTATTTTCTATTATACGAATCGGTTGAAAGGTCATGTCTTCATTTTGGGGTGCATTCATCACCTCAAGTCTACAGAGCCTGAGCTGCGAAATCACTGTATGGATCGATATCGCGTCGTGCGCGCACCGTTGCCCATCCAAAAGTGATTCTATGCTCGTTCTTCTCCATCCATACCTACAAGTACAGAACCCTCCAATGTCCGAAGCTAGCGAACCACAAACCATCTTGCCGTTGGAAGTCATCGACAAAAGCGTCGGCAAAAAAATCCGCGTGTTGTTGACCAACGACAAGGAATTCACCGGCACCTTGATAGGCTTTGACGACTTCGTCAACATGGTGTTGGAAGATGTTGTGGAAGAGTCCAACGATGGTGTCAGCGACAAGGTCATCAAGAAGATGTTGTTGAATGGAGGCCAAGTGGCCATGATTGTGCCCAGCTAATTCATCCTTTCGCCAGTTTGCCCTATCGCTTCTGGTACAACCAGGCATTGACGTACCAGCGAGTGTCAACCACTGCGAGATGCACAGCACCACCGTCGACAGAACAGGTGTCTGCGATCTGTCACTATCGGACCAGAGACTGAGGCGCCTTTCTAAATTGTATAATAGCAGTCAATACAAGACTATCCAGACAGGACCAAATGCCAGAAATTAGTGGGATGAATTGAAAAAACCGTAGATTGGATGCTCATAATGCTGTAGCCCCGGGGAGGCCGCTGCTGTGCGTTGTCTTCACCTGAAACACTTGTCGTCATCTTGCTCGAAATCTGACGATTCGTGTTAGTATAGTTCATGGTTCCAGAAAGTCTATCTGTTCACACAGCACGGTTCAAGCGTCGTGCTGTATCAAGCCAATTTGGATTGATATGAAGAAAACATAGTAGCAGAATGGTGCGTCTGCGTTCTGGCCAAAAATCAGACTTAGACTATACAGCAGGCACTTTCACTCTGAGAAGGGAAGTATGGACGCAGTGGGTGTACTTATCCTGAGCGTTGAAGCACACAAGTTTTTGCAAAAGTCCTGGATGGTGCAAGTCGGGATTTGGGCCACCATAGAACAATTTGCTCCAGATATACTGTTCGCATCCACCATGGCATAAACTGCTTGTGCACAGTCAATAATGATGATAACTACAGAAGTCAGAGTAAATCCATACACCAAACCCAGTCCCTTAAGGCTGTCGTCTGGGTGGCCCAAGATCTGTTCAGAGTGAAGAACTTCATGTGAAGTCTCGTGAGCCGTCACAGTGGCATAAGCAATGCAACCACCCCAAGAGCACTTGCACCACTTCCAGCCACGCTATCCACGACAAATGCCGTCAAGCATCCGCTGGCACTCATCTAGAATGCTAAGAAACGTACGTTCAGAGTATTGAAGTGTGGATGTTTAAGTCGTCAAATTGCAGCCTCTGCGAATCATCGAAAGCCCCAACCCTCTCCTGAAGGCCCCTCCAAAAACAGCTACTTTCTCGTGGAAGGACTTGGACTGCTTTGGAACGTTTTGGCCACCCCACACCGCCACCACTGTCTGGGTCAGACAATTAGACGTGATGCAGATTGTACCAGGTGCGATTTTGCCACCACAAACAATCACCAATCGCTCACCACTAGCCGCCACTCACTATATAAGTTCCTGCGTACCCACTCCGTACACAACAACCACTATGAAGCTCAGTATATCCATTGAAAGCACAGGTAACGTCATACTTGTGGACGTGCCTGGATCACTCACCGTGGCAGACTTCAAGGCTTATCTCGAAGCAGAAACAGACATCGACCCTCAACAACAGGTGCTTATCCACGACGGTACCAGCTTGCACTTGCCCCAGAAAACGTTGGATGAAGCAGGAATCAAGGAGAACGACTTGCTCGTGCTCAGCTTGACCCGCCTGGCTGGTGCTGCTGGTGCTCCTTCCACAGCAGACTCCGGTGCCACTCCGTTTGATGGCCAGATCGAGGCGCTTCGCCAACGGTTGTTGAGCGATCAGACCATGCGGACTCAGCTCGAGCATCTGCAGCCTGATCTCTACAGAGCCTTGAACAATCCATCCGAATTCAGAAACCGCCTTGCCTCTCAAATCCAAGAAGGAGGATTTGGCGGTATGGGGGGACCAGGTGCTAACAGTGAAGAAATGAAACGGTTGCAGGAAAACCCCGACGATCCCGAAAACCAGGCCAAGATCTTGGAACTCATCAGACAACAACAAATCGACGAAAACTACCAGTTGGCTTACGAAACCACCCCAGAGAGTTTCGCCTCAATCAACATGTTGTATATTAACATCTCCGTCAACGGCCATAAAGTCCAGGCGTTTGTGGACTCGGGAGCACAAACCACCATCATCTCGCCCAAGTTGGCGGAACAGGTGGGAATTTCTAGGTTGATCGATAAACGTTTCATCGGTAAAGTCAGTGGTGTTGGAACCCTAGATGTGCAGGGCAAAATTCACAGTGTTCCGATAAGAATTGGAGACTCCAAAATTGATATCGCCGCATCCTTCACCGTGGTAGATACTGCTGTGGACTTGTTGTTCGGATTGGATTTATTGAGAAGACACAAATGTGTGATTGACTTGAGCAGAGATGTTTTGGTGGTTGGTGGTGATATCGAAACCAAGTTCTTACATGAGTCGGAGGTTGTCAACGGATTTGGGGCCAGTGATTCTTCAGGAAGACCTCTTGGAACTGCTGGAGGTCCTTCCGGGCTCGGGGGTAATATTTTCGGTGACGGTGGATCTGTTGTGCCAGCTAATACAACACCAGTGAGTAGCTCTCCAGCAAGCTCTGCTGCTGCTGCCGCTTCTAAAAGACAGCGCACCGAACCAAGCGCTCAGAAGTTCAAAGAAGAGGACATTACCAAGCTTATAGGGTTGGGTTTTTCAAGACAAGAGGCCATCTCGGCCTTAACAGCCACGGGAGGCAACGTTGAAATGGCAGCATCCATGTTGTTTCAGTAATCAGCCGCACTAGATAATTTAATCCAAGAACGTTATCACTACATGATCCAATTCACAGATTGTATTAATAGATTATTCAAGAACTGAAGCATGGTTCGAAGGTTATTAGATCTGCCAATACAGCAATTAATTTAAAACTTGAATTATTTGAAGGTTCAATACACCAGTCAATTTAAAAATTCAATTAATTTCATTTTAGATCTTCAAATACGTATTACTTCAAATCTCCAATTACATGTCAATACAATCAAATACATTTCGTCTAGTCTATCACTCTAGGTCTATTATTGGCCTCACTTCGACTCGGGCTTTTCGTAAAGCGGGATGAAAAAGCCTCTGAAATGGAACAGGTTTCCCAAGCGGTCGATCTCGTCTATGTCAGCCTGTTCGAGCTCAAAATTGTACACTTCCAAAGACTGCTTGATTCTCTCTTCCTGCGAGGAGGTAGTCACTGGCAAGATACCCTTCTGGTAGGTGTATCTGAGCAAGATCTGGGCAGGAGTCTTTCCGTACTTCTTGGACAATTCTGGGAGGTAGCTCACCAAAGGATGGTCCTCGATGACGACGTCGTCCTTCTTGATTCTGAACAAGGGAGACAAAGGTCCGTATGCCTCGGTCAAGATCTCGTTCTCGGCAGCGAATTGCACGATGTTCTTGGATTGGTTCTGCAAGTATGGATGGAACTCGATCTGGTTCACCTTGGGGTAGAACTCTTTGGAACCAGCCACTTTGAAAGTTCTTTCCAAGTCCTCCACCCTGAAGTTGGACACTCCGATGTTTCTGACCTTGCCAGCCTTCTTGGCGTCGATGAGACGCTGCCAAGCTGACTCGACTGTCTCGCCATTCGAGCCTTCGGGAGTGAAGAAAGGCGCATGGATCAAGTACAAGTCGAGGTACTCGGTGTTCAACTCCTTCAATGCCTTGTCGATGGCTTCAGTGGCATTGCTGGACTTGATTTCACCAAATCCGGGGTTGTACTTTGAGCTGATGAACAAGTCTTCTCTGGCAATTCCACTACGCTTGACAGCTTCTGCGATCTCCTCGTGGGTGGTGTAGATTTCGGCACCATCGATGTGGTTGTAGCCCAGCTTCAACGCCAAAAGCAAGGCCTCAACCAATTCTTCTGTCAATGCCGGGACGTCTCTGCTCTTCTTGAGGTTCTGCCACTTGGTACCGGTTCCGGTTCCAAAAGTGATAGGCTTGCCTGACTTGGTGGTGAAGTTCTGGATAAGGTTGACTGATTTGGTCATGGTAGCAAAGATGTTTGTTGGTGCTCAATTGAGGGTAATTAGGACAATTCTATTGGCCACTGCTGGTGTTACAGGTGGAGTTTGTCCGACTGCAATTGTGGAGAAGATCGGCAGCGGAATCCTCCCTTTATATGTGGTGCGGATTATTAATGGACCCTCGCGGCCACAATCGCCACTATGACGTGCTGGGGGGCCCACAAGAGCGTCCATTATGGCGTGGCTAGCGGTGGTGACGGCGTGGCAGGCCCTATGACGTTGCTGGTGGTAAGAATGGCGATGGTCTAGCGGGGTTAGTCATGGCCGTCGTTATCTGTTCTACGCAGGCATAATTTATCTTATATTGTAATCGAGATAAACGATGGAGATATCGGTGGAAAATGATGGACACGAAATGGATCAAATGGATCAAGGTAGGGTTCAAGAGATAGATCAGGAAATTGGGTCTAGAAAATGAGGTCAGGAATCATTGAGATCAACGGATGTCAATCACATCAATGAGATCAATGGCTCACCGAAGTGTGGCGCACCTACTCAAGACCGTTCAACCCCTCGTCCTCCTCACTGTTGGATCTCTTCTTTAATACCAAGGGCTTGCCAGTGATCCGGAAGTACAAGTCCTTGACGTCGTCGGTGGTGCTCTCAAAGTGCGAGGTAGCGTCGTAACTCTTGGAGATGTAGACACCGTCGCTGGCCCCGTCGCTGGCAGGCTCGTACAACTCGGCAATGCCCATCAAGGTGTCCAAACGGTTGCCCAACAACTTGAATGCAGGCTCCAACTCGACGTGGGGAGTGTCGGTCTCGATGATGGTGGACACAATGGCCAAGTAGTACCCCTTGGGAACAACGCAGTGCACGTCAGACAAGACAGCTATGTAGATATCATGCTTTCTACCCACCTGGTTCTGGGGAATGATGATCTGCACCGAGTCCAAGTCGTTGGTGCCTGGAAGGGGATGGTCCATGATGCACATGGCTCTGATCACCTTGGAGCCGGTCTTCTTGACCTTCTCGGGGAAGTAGGTAGGGTCAGCAATCACAATTGGAGCCTTAGCAGTGCCTTCCTTGGTCTTGACTCCCGCAAACTTGTCGCCCTCGTACAACACCTCGTCAATAGGGGTGTCCAACATGTAGGTACCACCGTAGATAGCAGACAATCTGGCAAAACCTTGAGGCAACTCGCCCAAACCGTATAATGGGTAAATGTATGGAGACTTACCGTACTTGGCAACCGATTGCACGTACAACAAGATTCTTTCATAGGTAGGACGGGCCACCTCGTTCAAGTAGTCGTCGGTGGACCACAAGGCCATGGCGTGGCCGATGAAGTCCTTGGTCCCGTTTTCCAAGCCGAACTTGTTGTAGACCTCGTTCATGGTGTTGGAGTCCAAGTTCAAGCCTTGGTGGGTGGATGGTACATTCTCGTCGTACTTGCTGATGAATTCCAAGAACCCCTTCATTCTTCTCTTCTCAAATATGCCCATCAAGGACGACTTGATAGCTTCAACCTCGTTGGAAGGCACCTTGGCAATTCTGCCGTTACGGTAGACGTAACTACCTCCGATTTGCTTGAATTCGATGTATCTGGTGACATTGGTGTGGACCAAGATGTTGGTCAATTCTCCATTGGCCATCAAGAATTTAGGGATCAAATCAACACACCAGTCTCTGTCTCTACCCTTCAAGTCCGGCTTCTGGGCAGAGGGCTTGAACTTGGAGTACAATTGAGAAAGGTTCAAAGATGCAGACTCTCCTCCATAGAAGTCCTGTCTGTCGATGTGCAAAACCTTCTTGCCTTCGACCGATAAGAGACCAGAGAGGATACATTCGGTCAAGCCAGTACCTAAGACTATAACGTCGTAATTTTCATCCATGGTGGCGACGATTGGATGGTGGGGGATGGATGGAGTTACCGTGGAGGTGGACACGTTAATAAATTATGTTTGCTTTTGTGGTGAGGTCGTGTGGAACAGAGACTAGTGACGAAACGACAGGAGCACATATGGCTTCAGAAGGTTCGGTAGCCAGCGTAGCGGCAGATGTAAGTCACTGAAGTGAGGAATTGACCCTCTATGGGGCTATCCGTAGTCCAATTTGCAGGTGGATATCATCACCCACCGTGTAGTGGCACTGACAGAATGTGTTTTGCAGTCAAACCGCCTTGCGACAGAACGGGGCAGCGACGAACAGTGGCAACGGTTGGGGAGAACGAATTGGAAAGCGACACTGTAGACGATACCGTAGAGGAGTTGTCTGCTTCAAGTTGCCATTGGTGATTACAAGCGCCTGATAGTTGGAAAAAGGCAATGATTTGAGGAGACCAAGGAAGTAACCGCTGAGCACGCAGGTTAACTTTGGTTGTGCTTTGAGTGATATGAGCTCGTTATGGTTGAGAAATAGATGCCTTCTGGTGTGTATTTAGTAGCATCCAGGACTAATTGATCAGTGTCCATGGCTGGTAGTTTTGTCCTGTTGAAGCACTTGTGAATTTCTCCAATAATTGCGAAATATTTGAAATTTTGAGATTACTATCAGTCAGAAGTATTTGAAATTACTAATGGGAGGAAGAAGGTAAATTTTGAGTATACACAGAACGATTCGTTTGAAATAATAAGACATTATTCAAGGTTGTAAACGTTTACTTAGTGTAGTATTTTTTATTTAGCTGTCTCTGTACTATTAGTGTCATTTGTTCATTGATTGGAGCTTCACTATAGTCCTTGAAGTATTCAAAGAATTCCCATAATGAAAGCTCTCCTATCATAGCGAGCCTTCAATAATAAGATCTTCACTTTGCGTTAAATGCATTTCAAAGTGGTCCTCCCACTTCAAAGCACCGGCAAACCTACGATCTATGTATATAGCCATTAATTTAATATTTACTCCGCAACAGCTGCAATATACACCAATATCATATAGTACACCACTAAACCACGTTGTGGAAGCCTTGGGCTCCCTTGTCAAGACCAGCCTTGATGATCTTGGAGATTTCCACAGGATCAGAGGTGATTCCAGTAAGATTCTCGAAACCATCCTCTGTGATCAACAAATCGTCCTCGATTCTGACTCCTCCAATGTACCAGTACTTGTCCAACACATCCTTGTTGATGTACTTGACCTTGGTTTCGTCCTTCAAGGTGTCTTCCAACAAGAAGGGGGAAAAGTAGATACCTGGCTCGTCAGTCAACACCATTCCCTTGAGCAAAGGTCTGCGCAATCTCAAGTATTGCAACAATGGGTCTGGATCTTCGTAGTTGGGGTATCCACCGACATCGTGGGTGTCCATACCCAACAAGTGACCCAATCCGTGGGGAAAGAATCTGGCAGAGACCTTGGAATCAAACAATTCTTGAGCAGAGAATTCTGACTTGAAAATGCCCAACTTGAGGAATTCTTCAATCAACACCTTGTGCGCTTGCAAGTGAATGTCGTCCCAGCTGGCACCTGGCTTGATCATGGCCATGGTTACCTGTTGCATCTTCAATACCGCGTTGTAGATCTCCAAGTGTTCCTTGGTCCAGTCTCCGTTGATGGGGAAACATCTGGTCACGTCAGCAGCGTAGCAGCTCCATTCAGCTCCAGCATCGATCAAGATGGACTTCTTGGTAGGCTCGATCTCGTCGTCGTTCTTGACGTAGTGCAAGGTAGAGCACGAGGGTCCACTGCAACAGATGGGGTCGTAGGCGTGGTGCTTGGAGCCCTGTCTCAAGGCGTGGTAGGTGAACTCGGCGTGGATGTGGGTCTCGTTGGTTTCGATGGGAATGGCAGACATCACTGCCAAGTGGCAGTTGTCGGTGATTCTGGCAGCCTCTCTCATCAACTCGATTTCGTACTCGTCCTTGATCAATCTGGACTCGTCCAATGCATAGAAGAAGTCCTTGTTGCCTTCGGATAAGAACGTTGAGAACTTCTTGTTGAAGTCGTTGATGTCGGTGGTGAGGATTTCGCTGCCAACGGCCTTCAAGTCAGCCTCCAAGTCACTGACGTACTTGACCTCATCGGCATCGAACTTCTTCGCAGCCTCCTCGAGGGACAAAGGCATGCCTGACCACATGACGTCTTCGTAGTCGATGTTGGGCAAGTAAATGGTCAAGTGGTCTTTCTTTCCCAGGAACAAAACGTGCGAGCCGGGAATGTCCACTCCAGACAAGTAGTAGAAGTATCTGTTTTGTCTCATGGGCTTGGTTTGGTCACAGTACTGGTGGTAGACCAAGTCTTCCCCAGACATGAAGAAGGAGGCATCCTGGCCCTTGGGGCCCAATTTTTGGGCCAAATGGGCCTGAACATTTCTGGCGTGTTGCTTGGCTGGGTATTTCTTTCCTATCAAGGAAGCAGGTCCGGTGGTCATGGCGGGTGTGGAGCCAGAATGGTTTGGGATGTGGAGGACTTTTATGATGTCCATGGTTAGGAGCGCGAGGTCCCTTGGTGTGTGCAGTACCTAATCCCGAGGGCTAGTTAGCGAAGCGTCAATAGCCGAGCCAAGCATGGCTGCGGACAGGTCCAGAAACGGGGAGGAGTTCTGGGGGAGGGGAATTTACTAGAAAGCAAGAAGTGCAGGAGAGTGGTGGCCATTTATGGACGGCAAGGCTCAGATATTGTGTGGAGACAATATGCACTTCCAACTGTCGGTGCCGGTCGGACCGGCACCAAGAGCACCACGGGTGGAGAAGAGCAGGCCCAGGCTGGTTTGTGCTAGTGCTGCTGAGATGCGGCTCTACTGAGGACCGTTGTCGTTGGTGTCTAAATCGGGAAATCGCCAGAGCTCAGGTTAGTTGATACCAGTAATCCCGGTGAGACGACTGCAATGATGCACATAGGCCATGCAGGTCTCTAGTGCCTTCTGCCACAACTGAGCTTTTATGCCTCTGACAAGCGGGTTCTGGCTTACTAATAAATTATGTAATTCAACACGTGACGCGCTACGTTCACCTCACTCGAATTGAGTGGCAACATCTACCACCACAACCAAACACCATGGAGAGATTACAAAGATTATTAGGATCAGGTGCCGGTTTGGGCGGCGCTGCCCCTCCCCAGAATGACGGCCCAGCCATAGATAACGCAGAAACCGTCTACATATCATCATTGGCCTTGTTAAAGATGTTGAAGCACTGCAGAGCCGGTGTTCCAATGGAAGTCATGGGGTTGATGTTGGGAGAATTCGTGGATGACTTCACCATCCATGTAATTGACGTGTTTGCCATGCCTCAGAGTGGTACTGGTGTCAGTGTTGAAGCTGTTGACGATGTGTTCCAAACCAAGATGATGGATATGTTGAGGCAGACAGGAAGAGATCAAATGGTGGTAGGATGGTACCATTCACATCCAGGGTTCGGATGTTGGTTATCGTCTGTCGATGTCAACACCCAGCAATCCTTCGAAAGATTGAACAAGAGAGCAGTTGCTGTTGTTGTGGATCCAATCCAGTCCGTCAAGGGTAAGGTTGTGATTGACGCCTTCAGAACCATTGATACCACCACATTGATGATGGGCCAAGAACCACGTCAAACCACATCCAACGTTGGCCACTTGAACAAGCCTTCTATCCAAGCGTTGATCCACGGATTGAACCGTCACTACTACTCATTAAATATTGACTACAGCAAGACCTCATACGAAACTAACATGCTTTTGAACTTACACAAGAAGAACTGGCAATCCGGCTTGAAGTTAGTTGACTACAACCACAAGGAACACGAAAACTTGGACAACACCGAAAAGATGGTCAAGATTGCCGAATTATATAACCAAAGAGTCCAGGAAGAAAAGGAATTGCTGGAAGAGCAATTGAAGACAAGGTACGTGGGTAAGCAAGATCCAAAGAAGCATTTGTCCGACACTGCTGAAAAGTTGATCGAAGACAATGTCACCTCCTTGTTGACCAGTAACGTGAACGCATTGGCAATTCAGTGAATTGGGAATGGAAATGTTTGTAACGTTTAATGAAGCTGCAGGAGCCAAATGTTGAGTGGATCCTCAACACGCCTGCTGGCTATAGCTCACATAGAATAGGTAATATACCTACTAACGTCAAATTGTAGACTGAAAAGAATGGGTGCACATAGGTTCGCTTCAAGAAGAGAACGGGTAGTATTCTTCATAAAAGAATTGATTCTCAATTTTTGAGTATCTTCACAAGAATTCTTTTTGGCCCAATTGTAGCTTGCCATGCTTAGATCCACAAGTAATAACTTATCCTTCGAGTACACCTTTAATATATTTCGAGACATAAAATGAGCAGAAGGATGTGAAAGAGGTAATTGTGATGGCAGTATAGGCTGACAGAGCAGAATATGTTGCACGGGTTTATTCGCAGACTAATCAAGAATTGGTATCTCACAATTTAATTCAGGTTTAGACGTTTTGGCAGAGAAAAATTTAAAAGAAGGCATAGCGTACATTCCATAGATGAGCAAGTTCAGTTGAGAATGTCAAAGAAAGTCCTCTAATTAGGTCTCACAATGTTACAATTGTATGTCGCTGAGAAGCCAGAGGTGGCTCATTAAGAATATAGAAAAGCATTTGGCGTGTTCAAAAACTCAATTGGGACACGGCAGCATATTCCTGAATGAACTAGAAAAGCGGTAAACAATTATCGTAATGTTTCATGCTTACACCGAACAGTAATTTAACAACTCAAATCATACAGTCTCATCCAAGTTAGCAGCCTGCACACAACATGTACCTATGTTGCACTAAGATGTAACATTCATATTACGTAATCCCATCAATCCATCTCCAGCTACTCTAACATGGATGAACCTCCTGCCAAGCGACCCGTGGACGAGGGCGAGTCCTCGGATGACGACATTCCCTCGTACCTCCAGCTGGTTCCCGCAAAGAAACAAAAGTCTGCCTCTTCAGACAGCTACTACCTTGACACCATCAACAGACAGGTGCTAGACTTCGATTTCGAGAAGGTATGTCTGGTTACCCTTTCCAATGTCAACCCATACTGCTGTCTAGTGTGCGGAAAGTACTTCCAAGGCAAGTCGAAGTCGTCACCTGCTTATTTGCACTCGCTTGCTACAGACCACCATGTTTTCATCAACCTTGGTAATGAGAGTGTACACATCCTCCCCGAGAACTACGAGGTGGTATCGCCATCAGCACTTGAGTCATTGAGAGATATCACCAACGTGCTAGCTCCCAAGTACCCCGAAGGCTACGTGATACCGTCACAGGCTCACGACTTGAACCGCAATGAGTACAGGGTGGGCTACATTGGCTTGAACAACATTCTGAACAACGACTACTCCAACGTGGTTCTCCAGGCAGTTGCCCACGTTCCGTTGATCAGGGACTTCTACTTGAGCTTGTCGCACAAGAAGGCGACGAGAGACAGTATTGCCAGAAAGAGCTTATTGAACACCAGTTTTGGTTTACTTGTGCAAAAGCTCTGGTCGAGCCACCTATTCAAGGGGCACATATCACCACACGAGTTCCTTCAGATAATTTCAGGAGAAAGCAAGAACGCTTTCTCGACAAGAAGGCAAGAATCACCCAAAAAGTTCTTGGTTTGGCTCTTGAACCAACTCCATTCTCAGCTTTCCAGGTCCATTAAATCCTCCAAGACCCCCTGGAGTAAGTCCTTTCAAGGCTCGCTTGAAATAACTACTACTGGGCTTAGTACCAGAGACTCCAACAACAAAGTGGAGTTTGTCGAACAGAATTCCAACACCATCTCAACCAAGTATTGGGTGCTTACCCTTGATTTGCCTACAAATCCCGTGTTTTCTCAGGAAGGGAACTTTGCAGAAGTAGCATTGGAGGATTTACTCGAAAAGTATAATGGAACAAAGAGCTCTGGTTCCTCGAATTCCGTCAAAACATATCAATTACTCCAGCCAATGCCCCCACATTTGATTCTCCACATCGATAGAGGAATCGAGGATGGAAACAAGCGAGGCAACCAAACGGTAGTGAAATTGCCGGAAGTTTTGGATGTCTCACGGTTTGTTAAAGGGGCTGAAGAACCGATCAACTACAGGTTAATGTCCAGTGTCAAGTACGAATTGGAACCCGGAACAGAGATTGGCAGAGAGGACGACAGACTCAGTTGGTCTGTCGGTCTCAGAAGGGGTGGTGAATGGATCAATATCCATGATTTGGAGGTGACGGAATCTCAAACAGAGTTGCTATTCTTGGACCAGAATTACATTCAAATATGGGAGAAAGTCTGAAAATGACCTAGATTAATTGATCATTAACGGGAGCTCGGGAATATCTGGTGGACTAGATCCTTCTTCTATCTTTAGATATTTAGAAGCTTACTCATGATAAGATCTAGATATCCTGACTGGTCGTTTCGTTATTGTGTCATTCTTGGCGTGACTGTTGAATGGATAAAATCCAGTTTCTTCACCCCAAATAATTTCTTTACAATACGGGTAGAAGTCTTGAAGTCTATCCGAAAATGACCGTTATAAAATTATCAAGAAAGACATAGCCATCGCCTTTATTCCGGTATTACCAAGATGCACGACTAATAGCTAGAAGATTGTGATATCTAAAAAATGCTGTAAAGTTGATTCCAGCTCTACGGTATACACAATGCATAGCGCTAAGCAGCAGCATGATCTGTTTGAAATTACTTCACTAGAATATGAACCGGTAGTTATGATTATTCTTACCCTCTATTGGTTCACTGATAATGTACAATAATTAATTCAAACTCATTGAGCCATATGGCCGTACAAAAGCTAGGTTCATTGTCTATATACATTCCCTAAGCCAGTTTAGTTTTAAATATTAAATCCGGCTGCTTAATACTTTTCTACGATCTTGTAACAGGCGTTCACAAATTCGGACTTCTGCTGCACTATTTTTCCTGCTTTGGTGGTGCCCAATATTTCATTCAAGATGACCACGTAACCCACCAACTTCAACTCAATGATATCCTTCTGTAAGCTATCCTCTTCGTTGTGGATGAAGTCGATCAATAAATCCAAAGTGTAACTGAAGCTCTTGAGCTCTATGTCGTAGTAATTGTGAATTCTGTTCAATGCCCCATTCTTCAAGCTGATGGGATCCTGGTCAAACAACTCAGGATGTCTGATTTTGAATGCCTGCCAGTTAGGGATCTCTTGGTATAAGTCGAAGGACGCCAACTTTCCCACGATTCCGTGGAATTGAAACAATTTGGAGAGTGTGTCCTCATCCAACTTTTCGCTGAGAAGGGTCAAAATCCACAAGTCAAACAACTTGGTGTCAATCAATTCATTAATTGCTAGTAACTCGGGGTCTTGACCCTGGAAGTTCTTGCTCAAGATGCTATGGTTGATTGCAGCATAGGTCCTGATATTTCTTTGCTCTTTCTGCTCCTCGATGAGAATGGGTAGTTGGTTATCGGGGGAGGCGTGGAACGACACCTTTGCTATTGCATTAGGTGATGCTGACACTTCGTTCAGTCTTGGTAACTTCAACTTGTTCTTGTATGACAAAATCAACGCTTGGCCAAGAGAGACAGGATCACTCGGCACTACTCTAGAAGCGCTTCCTTCTAGAATAAACACATTGTGCACCGCCAAAGTGAAGTGGTGTGGAGTAGTGGGTCCTCCAAAATAAAACTTGTTTGATTCGGTTTCCTGGAGGCCCTCGGGAGTGCTGTTTGGAACAGGGGGGTATGTGGCGAGGGGGAATGTGTCAAAGAGCTGTTTGACAGGCGCAGGAACGGTCACCATGGCGGAGAATGGAGGAATGGTGGGGAGGTCGTTGTGATAGATGCCTAGGTTTGTTAGTGGTTACGTAAACGCGAGCCATTGTTACGTGATGTATTATGTAATTATATCTAGGAAATAGTAAAACAGAGGAAAATGAACATAGTAGCAGCAGATGGAACTGAAGGATGTATTTTATCTTCTGCAGAGCAAGCCAATTAGGGGGCCATAGAGGGAGTGCTCTCTGTCACGCCATCCGACCCTTCTTTGTAGCGCATTCGATGCCGTACCTAAAGATCATCTTCAGCAATCAAATCGATGGCCAAGTCGTACCAGGTGGAGCCTGCAAACTCGCACTTGCTCTTACCCAAGTTGGTGAAGCCGATCTTCTCGTAGAATGGGGTCAACTGTTCGTGGGCAATCAATATGACCTTGTCACCCAAGTCCTGGTTGGACAACTTCTGGATGTAATCGTGCATCAACAAGGTGCCGAGGTTCTTGCCGTGCCACTCGGGGTCGATCACCAACGCGTGGATTCCGATGTATCTCAGGCTCTCGATGTGGCCTGCCGTGGGGTCTTCTTTGGAGGGGAGTTCCATGGAGGCGTCGGTGATGGCACGGTGGTAGGTCTTGGTGGCGATGATATGGCCTATCAAGGTCTCCTTGGTCACTGACGACTTGACAGGAAGCTTGTCGAGCTCGTCGTCGTCGTTGGCGTCGCCATGGGCCTGGTTCAACTTCTCGGCCACTTCCGGCAAGTTGATGGCGTTGTATTTGTACTCGTAATCTCTGATGAACAATCCGGAGCACAACTCGGGGCAGGTGGTCAACCGGTAGCGGAACTTGGCTTCGGTGCCTCTTTCATTTTCCGGGAATCCCTTCTGTTCTAACTCGAGACATTGGGCCACGTCCTCTACAGTCAAGGGCCTTATGGATAAATTGGGGGGAAAATCAGACATTGTCGACGATGGAGCACACGGAGACTAATAGGAGGTGATTGGAGTGGATTGCTGCTTGATCGCTGACTGGTAGGGTGGATGCGGTCAGAGAAATGTGCCTCGGATGGTAGAGGCAATTTGATGTCGGATACTGGAAAAAAAGCGTGGAGCAGTCCGGACGCGGAGCGTAGCGAGAGTTAGGGAGGAATGTGGTACGGGAGAGATTGGTGGTACTACTTAGGGAGAGCGCAGAGTGACAGGTAACGAGAGCTGTGGGAAGAGGTGGTGGTAGCGGATGCTTGCACTGAGGCTTGGTGTCGCTAGCGGTGTAGCGAGCGACGTGGGACCATAATGCTGGGCGAGTGGGGTACCCTGGAGTCAGGGGATCGTCCTGAAACGGGATAATCTCGTGCCAGGGTCGCGCGGCGCCACCGAGGTCTCGCTGGAGATACCGGGAAGTAAATCAGTCTGCGAGTACTGCGAAATGAGCACCAGCAGAACAATAAGTCGACTTATACTGCGAGAGGGAATATTAGGCCATTTTATCGTTCAAGTCGTCACAAGAGCTAGCTAACGACAGCACAAGCACCCAACGAGGCTTCATAGCGTGCTTAGAGGCCCCTGGTACAAATCTTGTAGTTGTATGATTTTTTTGAGGTTCCGTGTTCAGAACAGATTCTGTGAACTTCAAAGATCTTTGATTGAGGACTTGAACCCCAATCTCCACACTAATCGAGAAGTAGATAAGTGACAGATCGATAGGGAGACAAATTGTTGCCCGAGGTTCAAGTTGAAGAAAGAGTTTTTCCTTGAAGTACAGTAATTGTTCTAAATTTTGGGATTAGTGCTATCTTTCGCTTCTTGCGTTTTTCATGGCCATCAATAACTAGGGAATTGAACCAGTTGATTAAGACCAAAGAATTTGTCTTCAATATGGGAGCAGAATTGAGGTATCTCCAGTCTGTGAATTGTACTCACATTGAGTGTAATAGGCCCAGAGGGTCAAATTAAGCCCAGTAGAAATAAATTACCAATAGCCGGTTGTTTCTGGCATGGATCGAAGCAGAAGACTGCCCAACGAGACAAGACTGGGTTAATACTCCAAGAAATGTTACTGCGATTTGAATTCTCCATACAACCCAGACTCCATATCCTATTCATCTGAGTAAATTTCCAACAGTTTAGCAGCATCATCGCACACAAAGCTAGCTTTAGGTACAACTGCCAGTTTGTCATCACTGAGATCTTCAACTGATATTCTACGTACACAAGCAAGCGTCATTTCGATTAAGCTGCACTTTTCTCCGGTCTTCAAAAAGTCTGATATTATACACTCGGTTAGCTTTAGTAAAGCTAGCTATTTATTTTAATTCTAGTATACAAGAGGCACAGCACTGCTGTGCTACTCCAAGTCGGTGTCAGCGATTTCCAGCTGCTTATCAGCGTCAATAAGACTCTTGCCCACTTCCCACAAGTGCACGATGTTGTCATCTGCTACCGATCCCAACGTCCACTCCTTGTAAGGACACCAACTCAAGTCGGAAACTGCCCCAGTGTGGCCCGCATGCATCATGAACAACTCAGGACATCCGTCCTCGGCATCTTCTTGCTGCTGTTCTTCACCAATCTTGAAGAGATCCCATATGATCAAACGACGATCCTGCGACCCCGAAGCTATGATTCCGTCCTTATGGGGCGAGAACTCCAAGCAGGTAATGGAGTCAGAATGGCCCATCATGGTGTGCAACAACCCCTCGCTGCTCTTGTCCTTGTTTACTAGCCGCCTGAGGTCCAACAAGCATATGTTGGAGTTGGCATTTCCGACTGCCACCAAGTTGTGGGAGAACGGGGAAAACGCAATGGAATTGATTCCCTTGGACTCTTCGTTGTAGTGCTTCAAAATGGGAGTTTGTGGGGTCCGCGCATCGTAAATGAACGTATAGTTATCGTCAGAAACAGATCCAAACAAATTTGCATCCAAAACGTGCCATTTGGCGTCGTTCACGATATCCTGGTGGGTCGAGCTGGAAAATACCGTCTTGCCACTAGCCACGTCGGTGTTAACCACTGTCTGGTCGTCGGAGGACGTCAACAAGTGGCCCTTGGTGAAGCTGCTCCATGCCAATCCGTACCCGTTGGCAGTATGGGGCTCCAAGTGGCTGTATGCCTTGGTGGAGTCCTCCTTGATGTTGTAGAGATCAATCTGGCCCTCACCGTTGATGGTGGCCACCACGCTGGAGTCCTGCGGCATGTACCTAGCACGGTTGATTTCGAAGGCGTTTTCAAGCTTCTTGGTAATCTTGATACGGGAGTTGGCCTTGTTGGTGGGATGGGGCAACGCGCTGGGGACTTGAGTAGACGCCACCTTCAAGTAGTTGGTGTCCTCTCCTGAGGTGTGTGTCCCCAAGAGCAACTTGGCGTCTATTACGCCATCCTGTTCGTGGTGTTCTGGCAACCACTGGATAGTCAAGGATGGCCATGTCAACGCGGTTTCGCTGACAAACTCGTACATGTAGCGGCAGTTCTTCCTCCAGAGCTGGTACTCCTCTTTGATTGTCAATTCACGTTGGACGCCATCTTCGGTGGGCGGAATGTCTAAGGACATGGTGGTGCTGATGGATAATTATTGTTGATGAGACGCGGTCAATTAGTATGGAAAATTGACTGTGTGCAGTTGACTGGGAAAATTAGTATAATGCTTATGTAGATTGTTGCGTGGGTGGATGGTAGTAATATATTATGTAATAGTTGATTACAGTCACTATCAATTGGGTGGTGAAATACTGATCGGTATACTGGGGTAGAAAGGACTGGATGAATTTGTTGAAGTTTGTGTTGCCCTAAATTGCTTCTTGGTTGGATGCTCTGCTAGAGTTTGTATAGTACTGGCCCTCAAAATGCTTCTTGGGTGCTGGTGTAGTTTTCCCAACAATTTGTACCCTTTGGAATCCAGCCAAGATGGGATTGTGGTATGTCGAAATAAGTCATGGGCATTATCTCTAGGGGCAGCAAGCTAAATCTGAAGAGGGCAGATAAAACACTAGTAACTCCACCGCAGCAATAAAAATACTTATTTATTGTCGTTGAATGCCCACTAACCTCTCGGACATATTTTTAATTTACTTTAGTTAATGATGAAGTCGGTTCGAAAAGCGCCAACATTCAGATTCTGGTGAAGCTGTTGGGCTGGCTTGAAGTCGAAAACTGGTAGCTTATCCGTTCAATCAGTTACTTTTCAATTTTTTTAACCTGGTCAATTGTAGTGAACCTTCGTTATCTCAAACTGGAACTTATCCAGAAAGAGATACTGCGTACCACATAACTGTTAGGTGTGGGTCAAAAGAAAATTGAAGATTTTAGAAATGAAGAAGGACAGTATTACTTTTCCAGTTTTAGATAGGGCAAATGTATAAATTGCATAAATATCACACCAGAATTTGAGCATTTGCCAGGACGTCTTCTAATGAAATTATCCAATAACACCCCTTGTTAAATGATATGATCAGTTCATTTCCTGACTACTTTGAGTTCCTAGGTTCTTGAATTTTCTATTATGAACATTCCGCATCAATTTGGTACAGAACCTTCCTCACTCAGTCGGGTTTCTCTGGCCATTGCTGGCAATATTTACTGCTGTTTACCGATCACTACACTGCTGATATTACTCTGTGTATCTCTCTATGCTAAATGTTGGCGGCGTGTTGTCGCTCATGCGAATTGCCCCTGTTCTGTGGTGAAGTTTCTAGCTTGGTTAAAGAACAGAATTCTGCGGTTTGGTCACACCACAGTTCCCGGAAGACTGGACCTTCTTTCAGCCTGGTCGACCTCCAAGAACTCCGAGCTACGCTGCGAAAGCTGGCGGACTTCGTAGAAGTCAATCACCTTCAATGCATCACTAATATGCTGGAAGAATGGAGTTTGTGGGCTCTCTATCAAGTTGTAGATGTGAGACGACTCATCCATGTCAAATGGAGTGATTTCCTCGTGGCCAATCAGAGATTGTGTAAGCATCCGCTGCACAGAGAAGTACTGGACAGTTTCCAAGCTGTCCATCAAGAAATCCACTATGCCACAGTCATGGAGTCGCTTGCGCAACTTGTCACTGTTATGCACCCTCACAAAGAAGGCAGGGATGTCTCTCTTTCTGTATCCCTGTAACAAGTCCGACAAGATCATGGCAGCCGAGGAGTCCAATTCACTCATTCCGTCCAAATCAAAAATAATGTAACTTGTCATCTTGGCATCTCTGCTCCGTTTCAGAGCAGGATGGGCCTTAGAGGACCCGTACATCTCCATTCTCAATAAACGGGACCGAAGATCGTTGCTGTTTGTGAATGTCAATGGTTCCGGAATCTTGATGATCAAACAACCCTCGATTTCCTCAAGGGCATTGGTGTTCAAGAAGGTCAAGTTTTCATCGGTAAAAAAGTCTAAGTTGGGGTGTCCGACATTGGGTGCCGATACTTTCGAGTTGCTGGTAGGTAAGTCTGCATCCAAGAATTTGTTTGAGCCAGGATATCTGCCCAAAATCTGGATCCGGGACGCTGCAGAATGGCGAATAACTCTGATTAATGAGTAAATTAGCCCCACAGCAACACCTGCTTCAATGGAGAAAAACAAGGTGGTGGTCACTGTGACCCCAAACGTAATAAGCTCGTTGTAACCCCGGCTTCTCCAGTGGAAATACAACTCGTATGGTGCCTCCTCGATCAACAGGATTCCGATGACCGCGGTGATAACACTCAACATACACTCGGGAACAAAGTAGAGGTAATCCAAAAGATTGAATAACGTGAACAAAGTGCAGATGCCCATAATTGCACCGGAAACTGTGGTCTTGGCCGAAATGGCATTGATCTTACTTCTTCCGTATCCACCAAAAGCTGGCAATGCTCCAAAGGATGAGTTACAAATGTTGATGAACCCGAGGGCCACCAATTCACGGTTGGAGGAGATGGGCAAGTCGTAGGTGGACCCCAACGATTTGGATGCTGTTGTGGATTCAAAAAACCCAAGCATAGCAGCCAGGAAGCCTGCGGTTCCAAATCTCTTCATCAAAGGCCACATTTTTCTGGCAAACGGGTTGTAGAGCTGGAAAACCCCGTCGTTGTGCACCTTACCAATGATGTCGATTCCTGCCAAGTCCCAACGGTACTTCGAGCATAACCAGGTCGACGTGCCCACCACCAACAAGATTTCTGGGATGTAAACTGCCCTCTGTGACCATTTTCCAGGGCGACGAGCGGCATACTTCTTGTAAGTTCTCACTGCCATTATGACAAAGAACCCCACGAAACTGATTTTCATGGTGAGGGGGTTCGACTCGCGGACGTGGTAGTACAAGAATACCACCTTGTCGAAAGGCGAGTGGATGTCCATCTGGGATGGATCGTCGGATATCTGTTTCTGCAACGCCAGCAACCCCAAGGCCAGCACCAACGCGTTGATGACCATGACAATCCCCACGCCACTGATAAATCCCTTCAACAACGACGCACTCAACACGTTATCCAAGAATCCGAATCTACCCAAGCCAAACCCGAGCAAACTGGCTCCACTAACAAACGTGATGGCCACCACGTACTCCATAGGGTCCAAGTTCTTCTTCTTGGCGTGGTGCAAGTACGGCTCGATGGCCTGGCCGACCACCAACGAAATGGGTCCCTCAGGACCCACCACCATCTGGGGAACACTACCAAAGATGAGGTAGATCAACGGAGACACCCCCAAAGAGAAGAGCCCTGAAACCACGGGAACGTGTGCCAATGTGGTGGCGTACGATAACGACAACGGCAACTGGAAGAACACCAACGTCAAGCCCCCAATCAAGTCCCCCAAAAGGTACAGGGGTCCGTACTTGGGAAGCCACGACAAGCACGGCAAGTAGTAGGGGAGGATTTCTCCCCACGTCAAGCTCTCCCAGCGGTGAGCTGCTGTAGGCACGTACTCGTGCGCTGTCAGCGTTCCATGAACGTCGTCATTGGAGCTGGTTGGCCCCAACGATGCCTCAAAGGTATTCCTGCTTCCTTCTGCAGCCATTGGGGTGGTTTTGTACACGACAGAGTCCACATCCGACTCGATTTTCTGAGCAAACGACTCATAGTCGTGGCCACCCGCACTGGTGGCTGCTGCGTTGATTGTGTCGATACTGTGATCCAAAAGGGGCTGGCGTTCCCGTGGATAGCCTGGAAGATTGGAGGTTCCCCCGTTAGGAATGACTCTTCTGGTGGAGATATGGCGAACAGGCGAGGGGCTGGCAAGACGCCGGTGGTCCTGTACCACGTGCCGTGTGGACCTGCTGGAGGCTATCGACTTGTTCAGCGGGTCAGACATGCTGGGTAGTAGAGGATTCTGGGGTAGCGAAGATGGGTGGTGGGTATGGGTCACGTGATCGCGCATGGGAGCCACATGGGCCAATGGGGCGGGCACAATTTGTCAATAGGTGAAGGACGGTGCTGGGAGTTGCCATGCTGCTGCAAGTAGGGTAGACTGCAAGTAGTACGGTGCTGCAGCTGGTACACTGCTTGCTGTGCTGGAACATCTCAATCGGAGGCCGTTTCCGGGCCGCTCCGGAGCTCAATCTCATATCCTGCATATAGATAGTAACATTATATGCAGGCCGCCTGCCTCCGCTCTCAGAGCCACCCGGCAATTCATACCAGGAAGTGGGTATACTACTACCAAATATATCCCGGTGCCTTAATGATCCTGAACACATCCCTCCCGCCTTTTTCTGGCTGCGTCAGGCCAAAACTCCAGCATCTACTGGTCTATCACGTGTTTATGTGCACGTGAGTTTTATCACCTGCCCTCACCACTCATATTCATGATTTTCCACTTCCTCCCACACTATCCAAGATGCTCCGCAATTTCTCCAGGGCCTTCTCCCGCTCGATCCCAAAGCTCGACACCTTAGTCCTCGTCGAAGCCGCAGGCGGCAAAATCACCCCTGCTTCTTTGTCCACCGTCACAGCAGCCTCCCAAATCGGCAAGCCTACCATAGCCTTGGTCGCTGGTCCAGATGGTGAGTCCGTGGTCGGAGATGTGGCCACGATCGAAGGCATCTCCAAGGTGTTGGTAGCCAAGGGCTCTCGCTACGACCACTATTTGGCAGAAGAATTGTCTCCATTGATCAAGCTGATCTTGGAGTCTTCTGACCAATGGACCCATTTCTTGACTCCAGGGTCTGCTGTGGGTAAGTCAGTGTTACCTCGTGTTGGTGCACTCTTGGACACCCAGCCTGTATCTGAGATCATCAAGGTGGAGTCCGAAGACACCTTTGTGAGGCCAATCTATGCTGGTAATGCTTTGGCTACTGTCAAGTCCAACGAGAAGTTGAAGCTTGCTTCTGTCAGAGGCTCTGCATTTGCTCCAGCCAAGCTTGGGGCCAGTGCTGTGGCCGTGGAGGATGTGGCTGAGGTGGAGTCTCAAAACAGAACCGAATTTGTGGGTGAAGAATTGGTCACTTCCGAGAGACCAGAATTGGCTTCTGCCTCCAAGGTTGTTTCTGGAGGACGTGGGTTGAAGAACAAGGAGACCTTCGAGGCCTTGATCGAGCCTTTGGCTGCCAAGTTGAACGCAGCTGTGGGTGCCACTCGTGCTGCTGTCGATTCGGGTTACTGTGACAACTCCTTGCAAGTGGGACAAACTGGTAAGGTTGTGGCTCCAGAATTGTACGTGGCAGTTGGTGTAAGTGGTGCTATCCAGCACTTGGCTGGTATGAAAGACTCCAAGACCATTGTGGCCATTAACAAGGACCCTGAAGCTGCCATTTTCAACGTTGCCGATATCGGCTTGGTGGCAGACTTGAACGAGGCTGTTCCTGAGTTGACCAATAAGTTGTGAGGCAGACAACAGTGTTCATAGTGTATAATAAATTTCTAGAGAGGGAAGGATGTAGTATGGGAGAGAATGGGTCAGCAGGTGTCGAGAGATGGGGAATACGAATCTTGAGGAAATGATTTCATATTGAATAAATCTAGTCGGCATTGGTTAATAGTCAACATCGTCGACGATCAAGGACTTTAACTACTAACGCTGGCATTAATTTTGCATTCATTTCTTCGTATTCATTCCTTCGTATTCATTCTTTAACTACGACCCCCAGATAATTTTGTTTCAGGCAGTAGAGAGGACTTTAAGTAGACACAAAGCTGACCTGTTGTGCCAAAGCTAGAAGGGGTTAGAAAGAAGTAAGTGCAAAAGATCCTAAACTCGACGGATGTAAGTCCAAAATTATCAAGGATATTTCGTATTTCCTGACATACTTAAGCTTTTCCTGGATAATCGGGTTACTTCCTGGAATTACTGTATTTCTTTACTATTTCCTAACTAAATGAGACTTCAGTCCTGGATAATTCAGGTAATTTCCAGCGAAGCTCTCTGTTATTAATCGGGCGTCTGGTGTATTAGTATATTTCCTGCAATAAAAATCTCCTCACTAATGAAGTATCCCCTGATTAACTCGATGTTTTCTGGGACAATCCAGTGTACTTGTTACTTCCTGAATAGTCCAGGGTAGCTGGTACAATCAGGGATAATCCCTGATAAATTATTACACTTTCTTACTGATCATGTTCGCAGGACGTTGGACCTAGCCCCAGTGCCTTTCTTACTATAAAGTATTCCCTGATTGGTTCAGTCGCTTCCTGGATTAGTATGAATTAACCAAATCAGGTACTTTCTGAACAATTCAGTGTATTTCCTGGATTGGTCAATCCCCAACAATTCAGTATGCCTCACGTCTATTCGTGCATTGCCAAATTCCCATCACCAAGGCCCGTCAGCAACTCAGGGGTATCTGATACGACATACACTCCACAATCAGGATCACACGACACAGACACCGCGCGACATCTGGAGTCCACTGGACTCGTCCCAAAAGAGCCCAATTGAACCCCAAAGCCCAGAAAACGCCCCCGCCACCCCACCGCTGCCTTCTCTGTACCTCGTCCATAGTTTTCCCCTCCCATTGGCCCTTTCTGCGCAGACGTGCTTCCCTCGTCGCACCTTTCTCCTCCAGGTTCTGTGCGACATTGGAATGTAGACATTTTCACGTGGTGACGGTGTCATCTGCCAAACGAATCCATCCGTCTAGCTGTCAGTGTTGTTCTACAGTATGTCAGACGACTTAGGATTGCCACCACCCAACGTGGACATCGAGGAGCCCGTGGAAGTGTCTGCTGCGTCGTCAGCGTCACCAGCTCCCAACACGCTCCAGCCGCTGGGATCGGCCAGCCCCACCATTTCATCGTCTTCGTCGTCGTTCGTGCCAATTGACCAGCACCACGTCCAAGACGCCATCCAGGTGATCAATGAGCACAAGCAGTTCAACCAGCAGATCATGGAATACATCCACGGCGCCACTCTGCCTGGCCAGATCGTGGGCAACGACTACCACATCATCTCTGTGTTCGGATCGCAATCGACAGGCAAATCGACGTTGTTGAACCGGCTCTTCAACACCAACTTCGACGTCATGGAAGAGTCACGCCGCCAGCAGACCACCAAGGGTATCTGGATGGCGGTTTCGCCTGAAGTCAGCACCACCTCCTCCAAAAAGAGCACTGAGAACGTGTTTGTGATGGACGTGGAGGGCACAGACGGCAGAGAGAGGGGAGAGGACCAGGACTTCGAGCGAAAGGCGGCGTTGTTTGCGTTGGCCACCTCGGAAATCCTCATCATCAATATCTGGGAGACCCAGGTCGGATTGTACCAAGGAGCCAACATGGGCCTTCTCAAGACGGTGTTCGAGGTCAACTTGTCGTTGTTTGGCCAATCCAAGTTGGAAAACAACACCCACAAGGTGTTGTTGTTGATAGTGATCCGAGACCACATTGGCGTAACGCCTCTTCAGGCGTTGGCAGAGACCTTGATCACCGACTTGAACAAGATGTGGTTAGACTTAAGCAAGCCCGCCGAGTTGAGCCACCTCAAGTTCTCAGACTTCTTTGATGTGGACTTCCACGCATTGCACCACAAGGTGCTCCAGCCAGACGAGTTCAGCAAGGACGTCAAGTTGTTGGGAGACCGCTTGGTGGTCAAGAAAGAGTTGTTCAAGCCCAATTACCATCACCAGATTCCCGTGGATGGGTGGACCATGTACGCAGAGAACTGCTGGGACCAGATTGATAACAACAAGGACTTGGATCTTCCCACTCAGCAAATCTTGGTTGCGAAATTCAAGTGCGACGAGATCTCTAACGGGGTGTACGACGAGTTTGTGGCCAAGCACCATGGCTTGTTCGACGACAAGGTGCCAGGAGAAAACGTTGACTATGAACAGATGGGATTGGCCATGGTGGACTTGCGGGAAGACACTCTCGACGACTACGACACCAGTGCGTCCAGGTACAACCAGACCATCTACGAGCAGAAACGGCAGGCGTTGAAGGAGAAGATCCACGCCAAGTTCCGTGAGGTGTTCGACGTGCATGCCAAGTGGGTCGTGGAGACTGGCGTGGGCCAGTTTGCGACAGACATCAAGAAGTTGAAGACAAGAAAGGACAAGTCGTTCTTCCAGGGAGCACAGGAGTTGGAGCACAAGTATGTGTCGTTGATCAACACCAGCCTACAATTGATCTCGTTGGGCGAGTTCCACGACTCCGAGGTGATCCTGGACGTCAAGGCCAGATTCGACGCTGTGGTCGCCAAACAGCAGGTGGTGGAAATGAAGGCTATCATTGGGCGTGCCCTTGCCAAGATCGATGCGGGAGTTTCCAAGGCCCTCCAGCAAGAGTTGGCGTCGCCCGACGACCAGACGTGGGAACGTGTGATGGCACGGTTCCACGAGTTGTTGGCAGAGGTCAAGGCCAGGTACGCTGGCACTGGAACCGTGCCGGATTTTGGGCTTGGCACCAGTGACAGCGACAATGTGGCGGGGGTCGAGAGGTTGCAAGTGCAAGCGTGGGTTGCATTGCACTCGGTGGTACACCGAGTAATCACTAGGGACAGCGTGCTCCAGTTGATGAAGGACAAGTTTGAGGACGTGTTCCGGTACGACGAGAACGGGATGCCACGGCTCTACCAGAAGGTGGAGGAGTTGGAAACCAGCTTTGGGGCTGCCCGCAAGCAAACCCAGCAGATGGTGCCGGTGCTAGAGGAGATGCGCACCAGCGAGGGCGCGGTGGTGCCGCGGTACAGCGCCAGGGCGATGCGTGCCGCGGGCTTCGGGGCGCGCGCTCGTGCTAGCGACGCCGCTAGCGAGGGTAGCGACGATGATAGCAACAGCGACTCCGACGACAGTGATAACGAAACCACCCCCACTCCCTTCTCCCAGGTGCTCTCCCCCGCGGACCGGGACCACGTCGCCTCCCGGTTCAAGCGTGAAACCGACGCCCAGTTTGTCGAAACAAAGCGTCTGGTCATCCAGCACGCCACTCACATCCCCTACTACGTGTGGCTTGTTATGCTCGTGCTCGGCTGGGGCAAGCTCGTGGCCATTCTGCGCAACCCGTTCTTGTTCGCGTTGTTGCTCATGGCCGCTGCTGGTGTTTACGTGTTGCACTCGATGCTGATGTTGCGTCCGGCCATGGTGGTAGTGTCGCGGATGGGTGACGAGGCCGTGGTTCAAATCAAGGCCAAGTTGCGCCAGGTGTTGCTCGACACCGAGGACGACCCGGCCCAGGTCCATGGTGCGCGCATGGCCAAGATGGGGGGGCACCAACGGTAGCGGTTGCATTGGTGGTGGTGGTGGTGGGTCAGGTTGCAGTGCGCGCACCGAGCGCACCGCCCCAAAATGCAACCTGTCAATGTACGTTACAATCTAGGATAGGCCGTGTAGGAGATGTTGCGTGGGGACGAGTGGGGTGGCAGTGGATGTTGCGTGGATGTTGCGCAGGCAGTCTGTTGTGGGGCATGTTACGGTTGCGTAGGCAGTCCGTTGTGGGGCATGTTGCGTGGGGCATGTTGCCTTGGACTGGCCCAGTTAGTGTCCTGTGCTCGCTCACCACTACCGACTGGCACCACCTCCTCCCTGCAGGCCCGCACGCGCACGCCCCTATGGATGTAACATCACCATCGCCAACGAATATATAAGCCCAGGCCTGGCCACCCAGGAAGCCATCGATGCTCCACAACATGCTCGGCGGCCCCATCGTCAAGCCCACAGTGCCCACGGTGGCTCCGCTCGCCGTGCCCTCCCACACCCGTCCCTCCACCATCATTCCCAAGGCCCAGGCCCTGGCCCTGCTCCCGTCCTCCCCCGACTCGCTAGCGTCCTCGCACCACTCGCCGCTAGCCTCGTCCCCAGACTCGCTGGTGCGCTCGGTGGCCTCCCGCGCAGGCGCTGCCACCGCCACCGTCGCCCATGCGTTCACCCACAACCTCAACCACTCGGTGTTGTCGTCGCAGGCGTCGCTCCTCGTGGACGACTTCTGCAGCCTGTTGGCCCACAACTCGGCCATCACCATGTTGCCCAACTACAACATCAGTCCCACTGGCGACGAGTACGGCGACTTTCTCTGCATCGACTTGGGCGGCTCCACCTTGCGAGTGGCTGTGGTGTCGATCGACCGTCCCGACTCCAGCGTGGACCCAGCCGAGCGTATCCACATCATCACCGAGCAGAAGTGGACTATCGCCAACGACTTCAAGACCATCAACACCAACTTCTTCAAGTTCATAGCCGCCAGAATCAACGATACCCTCCAGGCGCAGTGCGTGATCGCGCGCGACTGCCCCAAAATCAAGACGGGTATCACCTGGTCGTTTCCGTTGGAGACAACCTCGCACAACAACGGCAGGATCGTCCATGTCAGCAAGGGCTACTCCATCGCCTCCGACATCTACAACCGCGACCTCAAGTCCATCTTGGAGCAGGTGTTGGCTGCGGAGCACGGCTTGAACGTGGACGTCAAGATCATCTTGAACGACTCGTTGGCGGTCTACTCCGCTGGCTCGTTCTTGGACAAGTACATGAAGCTCGCATTGGTGCTTGGAACAGGCTTCAACATGTGCTGCTCGCTCGAGAACAACGACGCTATCCACCCCGACAAAACGTGGTCCAACGCTACCTCCGGCAACAAGACGTTGTTCAACACCGAGTTGTCGCTTTTTGGCGACCACATGTTGCCGTACCTCCCCAACAAATACGACTATATCATCGAGCCGCGCTTCGAAAACTTCCAGTTCGCCTACAAGCCCTACATGACCGCAGACCCAGCCACCAACTCCATCTTGCAACCTACAGAACTCATGACCTCCGGCAGATACTTGACAGAGTTGACGCGGTTGGTGGTGGTGGACTTGATCCACGCCAAGGAGATCTTCACCCAGCTCTGCCTCTCACAGATGTCGCCTCTCCTCAACGGAGTCTACGACGGCATCTCAGGCGAGCTCTTGTGCTTCATTGCAGAGACCGATGACCTGGACGCCATCGCTTGCAAGCTTGCAAGCGAGTACCAGTGGCCAGTGCAGGCCATCACCCACAACGATGTAGGTGTGCTCAAGACCGTCATCAATTGCATTATTGAACGTGCTGCGTTTGTGGTCGCCATTTCCATTGTGGCGTTCATCAAGCTTCTCAAGCTTCACAACTCCCAGGAAAACATCCACGACCAGGCCATCAATATCGGCTACGTGGGCTCGGTGATCACCTACTTCAATTCCTACCGTGAATTGATTAAAAAATACGTCAATGCTAACGATGCCATAGTGAACTTGGGGGTTACTGTCGACTTCAAGTTGGTGGACAACAGTTCCATCATCGGTGCTGCCATAGGTGCTGCTTACTATTCATAGGGCTCGTTGTATATAGCTATAGACTTATTGCATTATGATTCATGAGTGTTGGTCCACGATTGAGTGGACTTTGCGTAGCTATTTAAGAGTAGTAAGATCAGGCAGTGAGACTTTTGAGAGGAAGGAGGGCCTTACGAGAGTAGTGATCATCGTAAGAAGACAATATATCTCTGGCTGGTTTGTAATTATTTGGTACTAAATTTGCATCTGTGGGCAAGCGCTGTTTGAACCCTCGCTGCGGCTGCAGCTGCGTGCCCTTTTTGGCATAATTGGTGGCAGCCACTGGACCCTGCCGATCCTTATCAATCCTTGAAAATAATTGTGTATTCTTCTGAGCATGGTGAGAAGAGCACAAATGTGTGGATTAAATTGTAATCTGTTCGTTTCTGGAGTAGTACCGATTGTGGCTCATTAGGCTCTACTTTAGGATGTTCTGTGGTAATGAATATGGTAGAATAATTTTCGTAGTTGGCTCACTTATCTCATTTTCTTGCGAAATTTTGGAGAAACTGAAAAATATGTGAACAATGCTCAAACATTCAAGTTGACGGTTGACCTCTTTATGAAACAGAATGGGCCAATGCTAAACGGGTTGAGCCTATTGACCAATATGCATAGAAGCTCATAAATGAATACTCTAGTAAACCTCCATTCTACAAATGTTCATAGTTGCTCTACAATGTCATGATCTACTTAAAGCTCATAGCCTGTTTTATTTAGATACTTCTTGAGTGTAGTTTGCGCTTCATGGCCACTGCTCTATTATCCAGAGACTCCCATTTTAATTTTCTACTTGCCAACCGACCTCAGCTATGTCGTAACCTCTCATTTACTCATTTATACACACTTCTAAACCCATAATCATTGCACTAATTACATTATCCTGGTCTTAGAGCTTGGCTCTGACCCCGGCAGCCTCAAGGTCGCTGACTATCAACACGTTGGGATGGTCCTGTAAATAGGACGAGGGAAACCTGGCGTCGTTTTTGGTGCCGTGCACCGTTTTTTCCAAGGCAAACGCCTTGTTTGCACCCATGACGATGATGGCAATCTCGTCGGAGTTGTCCAAGATGGTGGAAATGCCCACGCTGAGCGCATGCTTGGGCACCTTGGAGAGGTCGTTATCAAAAAAGCGCGAGTTGGCCTTGATGGTGGACTCCACCAACGACACCCGTCTGGTTCTGGAGTCCCTGGTGGAGCCTGCCTCGTTGAATGCAAGATGGCCCTCGGGACCCAAGCCGCCCATGAACAAGTGGATGCGTCCATACGACTTGATGGCAGCCTCGTAGCGACGACACTCCTCGTCCACGTCCTTGGCCAATCCGTTCAAGATGTGGATGTTCTGGCGTGGAATGTCGATGTGGTTGAAGAACTTGTTGTACATGAAGTAGTGGTACGACTGGTCGTTGGAGGGAGCGAGTCCCAAGTACTCGTCCATATTGAAGGTGACCACGTTCTGGAACGTCACCAAGCCCTTGCGATTGGCCTCAATTAACCTGGCATACACGCCTTCCGGCGAGGACCCCGTAGGAAGCCCAAGAACGAACGGTTTCTGGGGGGTAGGCCCAAAGTCGTTGATACGCTTGACAATGTACTGAGCAAGGTACGACGAAGCGTCTGCAGGGGTGGAAAAAGCGACTTGTTTCATGACTGGGCGGTGCAGGTGGCGGTGGAGGTGCTTCCAGGGCCTTCCTCGAGCTATATATGGTGATGGAGAGCCCGTAGCCATCGGTACTATCACCAGTTGCATGGGATGACTGGTGGCGTGTAACGTACCATTGGCCCCACCAATCTGCGGGTTGCACTGGGGCCGGTGCAACCTGCGCAGGTTGCATTTTGCCGGTTGCTTTTCCCCCATGTTCCAATCGCGACCCCCCCGATGGCTTCCGTGACTGGTAAGCCATGGCAGGCTACTTAAACGTGGGGGCGCCCAAGCTTCTGGCCCACCAGAGTGTTCCAGTGGAGCTGATACCCCATCGACTAGTTCAAAAGCTACACCCATTAGCATAATCACACATCCGAGAGGCTGCCAATACAAGATAAGTGGTACCGAGTGATACTAGAGATACTGCTGAAGTGATAAAGATCCTACTGCTGGCGCTAAAAACATCATAGTAGTGATAATAGAAATACTAGAGGTACTGCTGATACTGCTGCTGATACTTGATACTACTGCTGATCCTAATTCCTCGAAATGAGCTACACAAAATATACCAACTGTCACTTGATTGACAACGGCGAGATCTACCCCAACACCGATCTCTGGGTCGACAACGCCTCCAAAACCATCTGTGCACCACCAGGCTCCGGCTCGGTCCGTGTGGTCGATTTGAAAGGCCAGTACTTGGCCCCAGGCTTCATCGACATCCAGAACAACGGTATCTATGGGTTGAACTTCTCTAACTTGAACGCAGACTCCAGCGACGAAGACATCCGTGCGTTCTACCAGTTCTACCAGGACGCTATGACCAAGTACGTGGCCACAGGAGTCACTGCAACCTGTCCAACCGTGACCTCCAACTTCCCTGAGGTCTACGAAAAGGTGTTGCCCTTCTACAAGAAGTCCAGAGCAACTGACCACACCGACTCGCTTGGTGCACACATTGAGGGACCCTTCATCAACATCCAGAAGAAGGGCTGTCACCCAGTCGAGACGTTTGTGGACGCCAAAGATGGCGAGGCCCAGTTGAACCGCATCTACGGAGGTGAGAAGAACCTCATCGACAACGTGTGCATCTTGACTGCTGCTCCCGAGATTCCTGGCGTTTTGGACCTCATCCCACTCGTCAAGAAAAAGAACATCACCTTCTCGCTCGGCCACACCATGGCTGAATACGACACCGGGTTGAAGGCCATTGAAAACGGTGCCTCCATGATCACCCACTTGTACAATGCCATGCCCCAACCACACCACAGAGACGCGGGAGTGGTGGGTCTCATCAACTCGCCTGCTGCAGGTTCCAAAACCCCATACTTCGGTTTGATCTGTGACGGGGTTCATGTGGACCCATCCATGGCATCCATGGCATACAAGTCCAACCCGGACAAGTGTGTGTTGGTGACTGACGCAATGCACTTGATTGGATTACCAGATGGTACCTATAAATGGGACAGCCAATACATTGTCAAGGAAGGGTTCAAATTGTACTTAAAGGGCACCGATACCTTGGCCGGTGCTGCAACCACCTTACCTGCATGTGTTAGAAACTTGATGAAGTGGACCAATGCCAGTTTGGCTCAAGCTGTGAAGACCGTCACCAATAATGCTGCAGTATCGGTGGGTTTACAGAAGGAAAAGGGTTTCTTGAATGAAGGGTGCGATGCCGATTTCGTGGTCTTAAACGGAGAAGGCTATGTGCAATCTGTTTACAAGTTGAACAACCCAATTAAATCATCTGACCTTTCATTGCAGCCAAACCACTCGACCAAGCTCATGGCTGTTTTATAGTTGCATTTCATTTCTCACTCATGTATCATTAATGTACGATTACGAATACCTATAAAGGGGTGGAATCAGTTTGAATTCAAAAGGATTCTCATGTCCAAGGATTATTAACGCTTTTTTAGCTCCTCCTCCGATGCGGTGTCCTGGACATCTCCAGGAATGAAATCGGGATCAACGGCTGAATTAAATAAAATGATTCCATTCTCCCGAGCGTGTTGACGCTCTTGCCTTTTATAAAAGTATAGCACCACAAATGTCCATAATAACAGCGCCAAACTAGCCGCTGCAGTAATAGAAAACCCTTTGAGGTACCTCGGGGCCTCAACAGTCTTCCATACCAAGATAGAGGTCCATGCAGTTGTCTGTTGTGCCAACATATTCATGAGAACCAAAACCACCTGTCTAGAGCGAATATCTCTACGACATATATCTCCTTGCCAAGTGTAAAGCGAAGGTGACATTGACCAGCCAAAATATTGCAAGCAGAAGGCAAACCACTTGGAACGTTCAGGAACATGCCAGACAGCCAAGATAATATTTCCGGTCATATTGAATATCTGAGAAAACGTAATTGCTGCCCATCTTGATTCAAATAAGTCCGCAATGCAACATGTGAGGGTTAACCAAAGAATTCCTAGGGCCGGGGTGAGTGCGGTATAGTCCTGTAGTTGACCTGCACCATACCTGGGCTTTCCATCACTATTTTTCAAAGATTGCAACCATAACGCATAGGCACCCGAAGTACCATTATTGTTATTCCATAAAAATGCACACCAGGGAGTAACGATGTATATAGGCCAGCTGGTGAAGATAGACTTCCAAACGTCCTTTTTGAAGAAATATTTCACTGGGTTTTCGCTGGGTTTTGCATCCTTTTGATCATCTATCATTCTTTTTCTAGCAATTCTAATATCTTCATCCGATAAAAATGGACTGTAGCAATCCTGAGGGGTTCCAGGAATCATGTAGAATCCTAAAACGCCCACAACCGCAGAAATGATACCATCAATGATGAAAATCCACTGCCAAGCTTCGTGTCCGTCTACTCCTTTCAAATTTCTTTCAATTGCACCAGAGAGTAATCCCGAGGTTAAAATCCCCAAAAACTGGCCGAAGTAGAAGAAACCAGCCCTTCTGACAATCTCACCAGTGCTGTTCTTGAACCATGATGCAAACAAGGCATGGTATGCAATGTATAATGATGATTCGAAGCCTCCAATAAAAAATCTGATCACCTTTAATTGCTTCACATCAGTTACTCTGTAAGCTGCCACCGTCAAGATAGACCAAAATATGTCAAGTGTTGGTAACACATAATTAAGAGGTAGCCCGTAGAGGATGTACATGAAGGGAATCTGGAAAATGATATTACCGACGGTGTACATGACTTGGGTATCAACGAAATCATTACCTTTCATACCAATCGATTCTTTTAGGCCTCCAATGTAGGCATTTGTGAGATTGGTCTGGTCAAGGTATCTGATCCAATATGCCATAAGCGAGTAAAATGTAAGCAATAAGTCCAATTTCCAAATAACCCTTTTTTCCTCTGGGGTATCATCGTCATGGAACCACTTGTACCACTTTCTTCTCTTTTTAGATTTTGTATTGACTCTGTACTCATATTCGTCGAAGAATTTCCACCATTTCCTGTCTTTTTCATCACGATATTCGTAATCAAGCTGGTGGACCTTTGATACGGTTACAAGGTCCTGCCCAGCCTTGTCATTAAGCAAACTAGAACCTCGATCCAGCTCCTGTTGTTCATCTTTGCTTGTTTCTAACTGATTGCCAAACTCATCTTCATCAACAATTCTTCGGATGGGAATGAAACCCCATTTCATGCGCTTGAAAGGCTCCGTGAATAACATAGTTTTCAATAGTTAACTTGCATTGTAGTTTATCGAGTTATATATCCACTCTGAATTGTAAAATTGTGGCTTCCTATTAAAGAAATTAGCCATCTACAATTAAGAGTATGCAGGTATCAGTATTCACTTTGGTCCGATGGCTATCAATTACTACATGTAAAGCCTGTTAGGGGCCCTGATACAATATACAAAAAGGAATTTCCAGTTAGCGATTGGCCGGATAGACTTTGTAACTTTCCTGTATCAGATTTGAGTTGATAAGGTAATCCAGGGTCCTTCATATTTGACATGTCGCATAATGACGCAAACGGAAATTGCCGCAAATCAACTCGACACACGTGAGAAGGTCCTATCAATGTGGCTCTACGCGAGGCTCTATCTAGATAAGAAAGTTGCCGGTTTGCCACCAGTAATTATGTTGTCAGGGGTAGAAAGCACGGAAATCAGATTTTACGAGATCTTAGAATTATTTTATTGATACGGAACGAGCTACGCTGATGGAGACATTACTTCCTCGTCTTCCACATCACGCCATACGTAGTAATATTTGAGTGATCTTGACACAATAGTCAAGAGTAACAAAATCGGCACCTCTAACAATGGACCAAAAGTTGCTGCAATACTCTGCTTGCTACCCGAGCTATAAATAGAAATGGCGATTGATAAACTTAGTTCAAAATTATTAGAAGCTGCAGTGAAGGCCTGGGTGGCAGTTTCACCATAGCTGGCACTGCAACTTGACATCCACTTGGGTAGTTTGCCTTCAACATCAAGATTAGACTTCTGCTTCTCGCATCCACACAACAATGCCTCAGTCTCGCTGAGATTGAGGGCCTGTTGTCTGGCATAGGTTTTCGCCGAAAGGTACCTGGTCAAAAAGAAGGTACCAAACCAGGCAATCACAAAGTACAACACCAAGGGAATGAAGCACAAGAATGCAGACCCAATATTCTTGATGAAATCGTCTCCCTTTTGGATGAAAATGACCAAGATAGTGTAGATTAACCCAATTAAGGCCCATGGTCCGATGAATGGAAGTCCATATTTGGTAAATCTTTCGAGTCCCCAAATCCTAAGACTCACCAATCTGATCAAGAAACCGGCAGCCAACGGAATTCCCAAGAAGATTCCCACGCTCTTGGCCACCAAACTGTACTCAACGCTACCGGCAGCCTTGTCTCCAGTAATCACGTAGCAGAAAAATATCTGATAGGGTGCATAGAGCACTATTTGGAGCAAACTGTTCACTAATACAAGAACCACGCAAAGAGTATTATCGCCCCCCGCCAACTCGTTCCATAAAATAACCATGGCGATACAACGGGCCATACCAATCATAATAATGCCGATTCTATATTCCGGATTATCGAACAAGGCCATCCAAGAGAGCCCGAACATTAAAAATGGACAAACTATCCAGTTCAACACCAAAGAGATTGCAATCTGGTTGAGTAGGGCCTTCTGTCTGATCAACACGAAAAAGTTTTCCCATTCCATTTTACAGATGGGAGGGATCATCATAACAATTAAGCCCATAGCCAAGGGAATGGATACACCAGCAAGCGTAGCTGTGGAGTCGAACGCATCCTTGGCCGTATTCGAATAGACCGATATCAAAATGCCTACTATCATCGATAAGATGATTAGTAATGGTAGGAGTCGGTCGGTCCATGATAGCTGTTTGAAAAGACTGAGAGACTTCATTTGGTACTAGTTTGAAACCTTGTCTAAAGGATTATCTGATACTACCTATTCTACTCAAGAGTATGTATAATACTATAAGGGACCCTGAAATTTGTGGGGGGCAGGAAACGGTTTTTCAACTTCACCTCTATTGATAATGAGTCGTGCACAAACCTAAATCATACACGCACTACAATTGAAGTCTGCGCTTATCGACTACAACCCCACATCAGTATTCGTCCATGGCCCTCAAACACTAAGGCCTACCATAGCATTATAGATGTTCTCTACAATCGACTTGAACTCGAAGCAATCTAAGGCCGATCCTGTCTCCAAAGTAGAGAAGCCCACAAAGCGAAGGTCGAAGACTGGGTGCCTAACTTGTCGGAAACGGAAGAAGAAGTGTGATGAAACACGCCCGGTGTGCGTGTTCTGCCTGAAGAGAGGTCTAAGCTGCGAATGGGAAATTAAGCACTATGGTTTGGTGGAAATAAAGGTCAAGACAGACTCTACCATAGAGGAGCCCCAGGAAGTGATGAACCCAACGGACCTCATACAGCTGATCCATGGACAAGCAGAGAGGCTAAACGAGGTAGAGTCCAGTGCTACCGATCCAGCCGAATCTAGTAATCTAGTCCATGTCGACGACATCATCGAAATCAATAACGATAAAGATACCAACAACCAGTTCCCCCACAATTCTTGCAAGTCCCCAACCTTGTCAGAATACTTGGAAAGTCACCTCGCTCCCAATAAAATTAGCTCACTCGATAACCAATTTGTGCTGACCAGATCTCATACTCAGTCGCCTTTTCCCGACTTCCTCAATGATAGTGCCCTCCACGAAATGTTCAGCCAGTATACCCCCATCTTAATGCAGCCCTCATCCTCCTTCAACATATACCTTGATGATTCAGGTCTCATTTACCTAGATTATTTCGAGAGTAATGTAGCCAATGTATTATCGGTCAGTCCCAGATCGTCCAACTACTTCTTGAAGACTTTTTTTTCCCTTGCAGTCACGAATGAATCTATTCTGAATGCATTGGCAGCTTGGGGTGCCCTTTTTCACAGTGATTCGAACCATGAAATCGTTAACCAATACCTTCAAAGATCGAAAGATTGTGCCAACAAGTCGTTGGCTAACAAGTATGATTATTTCGTCACACTTGCCTACTATTTGATAAATATAGGCATTCAAGTATGTTCTGGTGATACCAAGAACTGGCACACAATATTTAATAAATGCTGCGACCTCCTAGGGGCTTACGGTGGAGTTCGTAAGTTCATCAGAGATTTCAATTACTCGAACGACTGCAAGTTTTTACTATCCAATTTTCAGTTTCATGATGTGATGTCTTCAGAGACCCTAACAAACGGTACCAGGTGTTTATTGAGTAATTATAACGACATATTTCAGACAAAAAAGTTTATTGGGGATGAGGAGTATGGGATAGATCCATACCAGGGATGTGTTCAACCTATTGTCTTGCTTCTAGGTGAAATAATGAATGGCTACGCTAAAGTGAAGATGGATGCCATAGAACTCAATAAAGAACTCAATTCTGGCGAGTCAAAGAACATAGTACAGATTCATTCAAGGAGGTTGGCCCACTTTGAAACAATTGATCAGACACATGATGAGCTAAGAAATAAAGTGAAGTATTGTAAACCAATACAATCTCAATTAGACCAATTACCGACAGACGAGGAAAAGGAGAAGCATCTCAAGTTATTTGAGCTTTATCGAATTACTTGTAAGATGTACTTAGCGTTGTACTTCAAACAACTCCAACCTATTTCCAGTGAAGTCCAAAACTTCTTGCTTGGCTCTCTCAAGATTATAGAAGAGTTGATTGAAACTAAATTGAAGGGTAGCATCAATATGCCCCTTATGATTTGTGGTATTTCATGCTGTAATGAATATGACAGACGAATCTTAGATAGGAAATTTCAAAAGATTTACTCAAGTTATAAAGTTGGTAATGTTAAGAGGATCTGGCATATTGTTAAGGAGAGCTGGAGAAGAAACGCAACAGGTGGTGTCTGTATAGACTGGATTGATATATGTAATGATTTTGGGTGGAAATTATCATTATGTTGAAGTTTACCAACCCATTCTTTATTTAATTATTATAAACGCAAGCGGGTATCTCGATTGGTTGGGATATATGAGTAGATTGGATATTGTTTGGTAATTATATTCTATTGTCTTACCAAAAAGTTCGCAATGTTATTCAAAAAGTAAGCCCGATGCGGGGGTCGAACCCGCAACCTTTTGATATCCTTTATAAGAGTCAAACGCTCTACCGATTGAGCTAACCAGGCATTTGATAGGAACTGTAACGGTTTGAGATCATTTTATGGCTGATTACGTACACTCATACGATTTGCTGACTAATTAAAGTTATAAGTTTGACAAAGAAGATATGTTAACCTCGGTTGTTGGAAGACATTAGACGAGAAATCAGATTATAAGGCAGTTGGATGCAGTTGATGACAAATGTCCTGAAACTGCTGACAAATGCAAAGAGACTATAGACGAGCCAGAGGAAGCCGTGCTAACGAAAGTAAGAAGTATAAAAGCGTAGTTTAGATTAGATTTAGGAAGACAAGGGATTATTGAAGAACTCAAGAAGAGCAATAGTTCCTAAGTGACAGATTACTTAAGATTCAATATATTATTAAGAGTGATATTATTTAAGATTAAGACGTTTCCAAAGAATTACATAAGCTACTGTTAGAGATACTATAGGACGGACACTATAGTGAAGAGACATTTATTAGTAAAAGGTTACCAATAAATCATTAGACACAGGACTTAAGTTTAATCTGTTACAGGAACTTTAATGTAATGCAACTAACATACTACAATTAAGTAGATCTTTTAAGGATAATTACATAAGCACAAAAAAAAATACTGGTTCTCCAAGCTCTACTTTAGAGACCTCCACTCACCAATGCCCAGAGCGGAGTTACAACAGTTAACTCAAAAAATTAGCTGGCTCTTCCCAGGCAATGGCAAGGAAAAAGTCTTCGGATTAAAGGAGAATGGAGGCTACGGAGTACTCGACATCGACTTGCAACTCAGAGCCAGAAGGGCTTTATACATATACAACACCCTCACCGACACTAAGCATATACACTATGCTATCCTCAGAGGAAAATTACAGAGTATCACCCCGGGTAGCCACGGATGGTTTTGCTTCCTCATGGGAGACAACTACTCCAGAACATTCAGGGTGAAAGAACTCTGTCAACATGGGGATCTCACGGAAGCGGAAAGAGAATACTTGAAGGCATGGTTCTCGTTGATCACCAAACGCGCGGAGGTCCAAGGGTTTTCAGATATGTGGGTAAGCAAAGAAGTGGTAGAAGACTCCATACAAAGGGGATGTCTAAGACTAGAAGAATTCCTCGACAGCATCCTAAGCTGGGATGACCAACCCGTTACTGCGGCAACCTTCACAAGCTTAAGTAGACCCATGAAAGAATCCAAGGAAAAGGTACTCATTCTGAGAAGCTGGAACGAACATCTTCCAGACATAGGCAAAACCGGATGGAAATCATTTTGGAAGCGCCTCAAAACCCTTAGCTTTAAGTACCCAGGCCAGGGGCCATCGACGGCATACAACTATTCAACCATGGATCCCAAAATCATCGCATTATCAATGAACAGACATGTCCAACATGCCAAGCAGCTACCCCTCCGGACATGAGGGCAGTGGAACACGTCTTCGTTAGATGCCCCACAGCCCAGCAATGTTGGGAAATCCTCAGGATACCAGAAGAACTCCGCAACATACGAAGCTTAGTAGCCCCACTGGCGCAGATTATAAATGACACAACTATCATCAAGTTGGACAAGTTGATTAAGACTCTTTGGAGGTTATGTGTGCAACGACTAGCACATGGGGAGGCCCATGTTCGTCCTCCAACCAACAACCAATTGTCTTTCCTCTTGTCCAGCCAAAGTTCCTAATGAAAATCTTATATAACATGGTTGGTGCTTCTACAAGGTGCCTTTTGTTGCGCACCAAGTTGCAAAAAGTCATCAAAAAACAAAATTAAATTCAAAAATTAATTAAATTATAACGGTTTCACCATAATGGTGTGTTATCCATTGCAATAGGTATATAGTCAGTAGATTATAATGTACTTCCCATTAGCAAAAAAAAAAGTAATCTATTAAACCAGAAGAAGAGAGTGGTTAGGATGATCTGATAGAATCACCCCTTGAGCTCCAAATATGATATGATATAAACGCAGTTATCTAAAGGTAAAAAAAACAAAAGATGGAACTTCTAAGAGCTCAAAAAAAGAAGTCAATAAAAGGACAGCGATGTTCATAAATCAAGGAGGGAGGGTATTATCACAAGGTCGGATAACGTGCTAAAGAAAAAACGTCAACCTGTTGTGATAAGTTCACCATGAGTTATCAAGTGCCCGCAGTAAATAATTACTCTTAGCAAATAATGTAAAAATGCCGTTTGATTATAATTCATGTTTCTATTTTGTAAAAAATGAATAGAGAACTTTAGACAACGACAATGATCTCCTGTTTCACTATTCACCATCTAAGGAAGCCCGAGCCGACTGGTCAGGTCAATAAAAGGGGCTAAAAGAGCTAAGTTAGAGGAGGAGCCTTAACTATCAATAGCGGAAGTGCTACTGGCAATGGAGAACATAAATCGATAGATGGAAACACTAAGGATCCCGTACATGAGTACTAAAGTGACAAATGAAATATGGCTAGAGAAGGTCAAACAAATGAATTCGCAGGCAATTATAGCCATCAAGTACCAAGAATGTTTGTTGTTGCATAAAAGGGCCAAAAAGAAGTTTACAGTCGGCTCAATCTCTTCCAGTGTATGCGATGTGTTTAAAACTTCGTAAAAATATAGCCGATTTCGTATTTCTCCACCTTTACAAGAAAATCAAAAGAAGAAATGCAAGAAAGATCTCTTGGGAATTTTTATATGAAGGAGTAGTGATTTTCGGATTTTGAGCAAGTGTTCGGACTTTAGCTCAAGTCTCAATCCTTCTGATGCTAGTGCAACACTCAGCAGATTATTTTTAATCTACTGCGCAAAAACGGAGCAGAAAAAATAATATGAGATACATCTATTCAAGCACTTATCAAAGGAGGATCTTGATCTTAAATAAGGTTTCTAAATATTTGCTCTATATTAGTTGATACTGGCTTGAATCAATAAATATAATCAATCATTATTCTGTTTGATTAAGCCCACATGGTCAAAATAATTTTACACATTGAATACGGTACTGTAATAAGCTTCTTCTCTTCATATAAAGGGTAAACAGATAACATAACATCGGTGTTTATTCTTTTTTCTGTTTCAATACTGTAATGCATTTGCAGTTTTGCTCTTCTCATTAAGTGGTGAGGTGATTGATTCTGCACAAGATACGACCACGCAGAGTATTCCAAACACCGCCCATAGTGGCAAACCCCTTCATAACAGAATTCATCTAAAAATTAGATGATATCATCCTAACAGGGCTCTTCCGATCAAATTATTGCTGATCTTATTTCATGCTCATAATTTATATTTCCACACCTGGCAAGTATACAGAGAAAAAAAATTATAAGCTCCAATATCCTGTATTGCCACATATTACTTGAGTTTAAAGAAGTAAAATGTGTGATACTCAAGTCACAGATTTTGTCAACGTAATAAACTTCGTTTACCTTGTTTCAAAGGGCTGAAGCCGATTCAAGAGAACTCGAATAGACTCATTGCGCAATACCCCAATAGTTTACACTCACCTAAGCCCTTTTCATCCTCACTTAGAATCTCCTCGTGTATTTTTTCAGTAGCTCTTGCTTTACAAAATATAATTAAAAAATAGTCCGATAAAAAGTCATTCTTGCCCGCAATATGCAGTGAACTGTAATTAACTCCGCCCTTTTTTTTTCGATGGGGTTAGGTGAGCATTGATCTTCTTCGAATCCTCAGTTGGGAAATAGATGACTGATTGAGATGGACGATCTAGATGCTTTTCAAGTGCTTGCTTGGTACCCCATGAAGCAAATGTGCCGAGTGGTTGCTATTTCATGGTTTCATTTTGGTGCTAAAATGACTGCAAAGAGTGTCCTAAACCTGGCTCTCAGGGTATTGGATGGTGTATTATAGTACATCTAATACTAAAAAAAAGCAACCTTGAATATAGTAGAGAAATGCTTAAGATTAATCCAAATGTGTACGGAACATGCTCTTTTCCCTGCATGAATAGTAATAATTGATAGTAAGATTGGCACTATTAACAATAGTGTTGCGCATTGAACTTACATTTTACAAAAAATAGTAACGAGAATCTTCATTCGATGGAACGATACATATGATCAGCATGCAATAAAAATAGTAGCTACGAAAACATGTTTTCCTAAGCGAAAGAAAGCGCAAGTGAATATGTGGGAATAATTACATACTCGAACTTGAGTTGCCCGATATCATATAAGTGTTGGGGATATTGTCATTCTTGTTTCGTTAGGAACGATGTGACTTCCCGAGACCGATTAAGTCTTACACAAAACAGATATTTTTTTATTTCTGCATGCAGCTGAAATAGTAATCGAAACACTACTTTTATCTTGAAGTGCATTGCTTTTTCTCCGTAAATTTGCAGACAAGGTATTGCAAGGGTCGAGAATGGTACATTTTCAATCACTTGACTTCTTGAAGAAGTTTAGATTTTCAAATTCAATCCTACATAGAGGAATAGTTCAAGTGTATAAGCAAGACTTGTGAATGTCACAAAACTGAACAATTCTAAACTCTATAAACATTGTTCCTAACTAATTACAATTAAATTTCTCGTTTGGGGTTAGGACTTCATGCTTTTTTAAGTGTGGTTAATAATCAGTAAAATCTAGGAAATACTCTAAACCTTATCTTAGACACTTTTATTCCGAGCTAGATACCCTGTTCTGCTTGTGATCTAAAAATGAACTGGGATTATTTTTAATTTAAAGATTCAATAACTAGCATCGGCAATAATTCGCCGAATTGTTGTTCCAGGTTGTTATTTTTTCCTGATAACTTACTGAGGCTGCAGGGAATACCAAGAAATTTCTGTTTCATGTGCGGACATTGATGCAAAATATACGATAGCATCATACGCCTGATGCAAGACGCATGACTATGCTAAGAATAACAATACTGAGTTACATTAGCTCTGCATTAGTGTAGAAAGTTACGACTAATTAGAGTGTCGTATTTCCTTCAGAGACTAAGCGATGGACTCTCCTTTTAAATTCTTGGGATTAGAAAAGTAGGCGAACTTTTAGTGCCGCTATAAAAATTATTGGATTTCCTTAATTTGCATCTACGTACATCATCCAATGAAGTTTCTGAATATTGTGGCCATTGCTGGAAGTCTTGCAATTGCCACCGGTAAGCAGGTTTCTGGTATATTCAAGAGTTTGGATTCTGTTGTATATCAGCTGCCACCTGGGTCATTTTTCCTTCACAAAACTCCAGGCTCTCCAACATGGTTTGCTACTCTTAGTTGGGAAATGGACGATTCCTTGGTTTTCCCTGGGGATACCTTTACTTTAACAATGCCCTACGTTTTCAAATTCATAACCAGTGCTACAAGTGTATCGTTGACAGCGAATGGGGAAACGTTTGCTACATGCTCATTGGAAGGCGGCGAGCTTCTCGTCCCATTCTCATTGGTTAAATGTACTGCTTCGGATGCAATTGGTTCCAGAGACTTGCTTGGACACGCTATTGTGGCTATGGGAACTATACAAGTTCCATTTGTGTTTAATAATGGAGGTTCTTCAGAGTCAGTTGATCTAGAAGGAGCTAATGGTTTAGTTGCAGGAGAAAACACGATTACATTCAGAGATGGAGATAATGAGCTTTCAACTATCGCAGTTTTTGAAGGGGGAAGTAATTCTGGTAACCCTCCTAACGCCTTGAATTTCAATTCTAAAGTTCTTCCTGGCTTGAACCTTTATCAGCTTACCATGCTAGGTGGTGTATGCCCGGATGGGTACGCTAGTGGTACTATTGGTCTCACAGTGGAACAAACAAATATTGATTGTGAAACAGTAAAGGTTGGTTTCACAAATGATGTCAATGATTTTTTGTTCCCCAAAACCTATACTGATGATTTCCAGTTCGAAGAAACTTGTTCCTCAACTGGGTACACAGTCACTTATTCCAACATCCCTGCAGGCTACCGTCCCTTCCTCGGTTTACTCTCTGACAACCCTGTTGGAAGCTTTGGGCCAGTGACCCATTATGTAGACCGTTACACATGTAACAGTGGCCAAACGAGCAATAACGATGAAACTAGATACTGGGGTCGCTATCAGAATTCGGATCCCAATTCGGATGGTGGCCGTGTGAGGATTATTACCCTGACTTATAGAGGATCAACTACAGCTCTTACAACATTGCCTTTTACTCCTGGTCCAGGTAACACTAGAACTGTCGTTGTCCAGGTTCCGGTTCCTACAACTACGGTTACCAGCTCATGGACAGGGCTGGTTACTACTACCATTACCCAGACGGCAGAACCTGGAGAAACTGCAACAGTCATTATTGAAGTTCCATATCCAGTTGTCACAATAACTACTCCATGGACTGGAACTGATATTACATCCGTTACTGTTACTGGCACTGACGGTACCAACACTTTGGTTATCGAAACTCCAATTCCAACTGTTACTATTACCACTCCGTGGACTGGAACTGATATCAGCACCACAACTGCAACTGGTAATGGAACTAACACTGTGATTATCGAAACCCCAATTCCAACAGTTACCATTACTACTCCATGGACTGGATCATTTACTACAACTACTACTGCTACTGGCAACGGTACTGATACAGTTATCATTGAGACTCCTGTTCCAACAACTGGTACTGTTACTGTCACTACTCCTTGGACCGGCTCATACACAACCACTAGAACTGCAACTGGATCGGATGGAGTTGATACTGTTATCATTGAAACTCCTGTTCCAGCCGTCACTATAACAACTCCTTGGACTGGAACTGTGACTACCACCACCACTGCAACTGGGGATGCTACAAACACTGTGATTATTCGAATTCCAGTCGCAAAGGTAACTGTGACCTCACCCTGGACTGGTTCCTATACTAATACAGTAACTATTCCAGGTAATGGTACTGATACCGTGATTATCGAAACTCCACATCCTACTGTTACCGTGACAGCTCCATGGACAGGCTCCTTCACCACCACTACTACCGCTACTGGCGATGGTACTGACACTGTAATCATTGAGACTCCCGTTTCAACCACTGCTACTGTCACCATTACAACACCATGGACTGGCTCGTTCACTACCACCACTACAGCAAAAGGTAATGGTACTGAAACTGTGGTTATTGAAACTCCACATCCTACCGTGACTATCACTACTCCATGGACTGGTACTTTCACAACTACCACCACTGCCACAGGAAATGAAACTGACACGGTCATTATTGAGATTCCAGTCCCAACACACGTCACTACCACCGTTACCACTCCTTGGACTGGTTCCTTCACAACTACTCTTACTGTGACAGGAGCGGACGGAGTTGATACAATTATCATCGAAATTCCAGATTCGTCTAGCGTTGCTTCGACCATTAGTCAAAGTATCACTTCGAGTTCAAGTTGGTCCTCCTTGGAAACCTCAACACCAAGTAGTTCTAGAAGACTTCCTTGGAACTCCAGTGTTATTTCACTTTCTAGCAGTCTTGGATCTTCAAGATCATTGAGTCCAACATTTATTTCCACCACTTCTTCGTCAACGTTATCTGCATCATCTTCATCATTATCGGCTTCTTCCCCATTCTTATCTACTTCTTCTTCTTTCATGCCAACAGTGACTCATACAGGTACTCTTGAACCGAGTAGTGCTCAAAGGACATCAGTTTCTCAAGGATCATCTAATATTGATGACATTTCATCAAGATCAAGTAAAGGAAATAGTCCAGATAGTACTACTGCGGATGTCACAACAGGAACGAACAACCCAACACCTATTTCAACAATATCCCAAGGCCCTGGTAACCCAAGAGCTACCAACACAGACACTGCATCTACCTCAAGTATTCCCTTGACTAATTCTAACGAATTGCCAGAGAGACCACCATTGGTAACAAATACTCCTCAATCGCCTTCTACAGAACGTAACGGAAACACACTTACTACTAGGAGTTTAAGTAACAGTCCCATTGATTCAAGTGCTTTATATTCTTCAACATCGAATGGCCCCACCAGCATTGCAGTGTCAACTTACGAAGATTGGGCTTCAAGAACTCATGCTTCAAAGCTTTTAACTGTGTTGGTTGCAATTATTGCCTATGCATTCTAAGGGGTTTCAATTGATATAGTTTTAATTTGTATGCAGACCTAATTATCAAATAATAGACAAGACCTTTTTACGTGAAATATTGTAGGTGATAAGGGCGATCCTTAACACCAAGTTTTTAATAGTTTCCTGAGGAAAGATGTTCTATCGCTTCTTTATCAACATTGGTTGCCCCAAAATACCATCTAGCTTCGCTCAATGTCAAGGCAAGACTATTGTCAAGATAGGTTATATACGACTATGTCCTGACTTTTGAAGGTTTTGGTGTTTGCTTCAATTGCGATAGATAGCGATACCGAGAGAAACTGCAGTAACTATGTTGCAATGAACTGATCGTATCATTTGTTTCACTTTCGCACAAGGCTACAAATTTGCAGGAAATTCGGAATTTTCCATCATTTGCGAAGCAAAGTCTTTGGCTCAAGGCTACAAATTTGCAGGAAATTCGCAATATTCTATGTTCAACAAACTACCTTACCCTTAGAGCAAGATTTTATGAATTGTATAAATTGAATAGGTATTGTACAGATTGGAGCTACTCAATAATGGTAATTACTAATTTCTTGATTGCATTAAGCTTACTCGTGCTACCTATTTCTGCTGGTGCACCTATTGCATTATACTGGGGAAAACCCGCTTTAGATCGAAAGATAGTAAAGCAACAACAAAAATGGAATATCCCAGCAGGAAAAATTGAAGGCTATTTCTATGCCAATGGTTACTATTTTGCTGGAACTGGCGAAGAGGGATATATTGGACCACAACCTCGTCCGGATGGTAAGACAAATCACCTTGCTTTCAGTACATTTGGAAAGGGCGCGTGGACAGATCATCCTAATTGCGGAGGAGGTGCTGATTCAAGCTCATTTGGCGTGAGCTGTGCCATTGACTGGCCCTGGGAATACGGTAAAAACTACACCAATGAAATTTTACGCACTGCCCACAATGAAACAGATGGTAGCAACAAGTGGACCGGTTCCTTGATTGACGATGAGACTGGTGAGAGAATAATTATTGGTGAATACTGGACTCCACAAAATTTTTCGTTGCTTGATACAGGAGGGTATACTTTTGATGAGTGGTATTTGTGGCAATATCCATTTCCCAATAATGCCAAGTGCATACCTTACTCCAAGTTTGTACAATACCTCCCAGTTCAATACTCGGAAGACAACGAAGAGTTTCAAGTTTCCATCAATTATTTTAATAACATGGACGTTCTTGGTGATCCTTGTGCAAAAGCAGCAAACAAAAGCAACCAGAGAGCTATCGTATTCGACGGTGGGTTTAGTTTTGAGAATGGTTGGTTAAATGAGGAGTACGAGAATAATGTCTAATTCCTGATGCTCAATACGATTCTCAACTATGAGGCTATTTTTGTTGCCTTTGTAAAAAATCAAATCTAATTCCTTGTCAGTGGTGCAGTCTCGACTGATTGAAGTGGGTTGTACTTATTACATAGTTGGACATCAAAAGTTGGTATGTTACGTTGTGGTGAGAAATTATTTTATGAAAAACCAACAGCAGTAGTAAGGATGTTTTAGAGTATGGTAGTAAGGATGTTTTCAGAGTATGGTAGTAAGGATGTTTTCAGAGTATGGTAGTAAGGATGTTTTC